ATATTAGGTTCAGAAGACAAAAGCTATTGACGAGCTGTGAATATTACTTTCAGGTACAAGGGGATGATGGTAAATCAACTGATGAAGTTGTAAATCTTCATCGACTTAAGTAGTCGACCCACGTGTTACGTATACCTGAACACCGACTACCACGACGCGAAATGCTGACTAGTATTGGTGACGGTTGTAAGAAAGTTAGGCGTGACCGAACCAAAACGTGGCATCCGTCCTTGTAGTCACTGTCTTATGGCCCAAGCAATTTTGGTAGATGCCGACTACTTGATCGTGGCCCACCCGACAATCGTTGGAAACTGAGTGACGTGACTCAGAATCGATAACAATGGCGTAGATGTATACACTCTTTGTCCACCCTTAAGACATGCGATTAAAGTTGCATTATACCCTATGTTTCTCAGAACTAATCCTCTATTCCTGTACAATATCTAGTTATTTGAATTAATCATGACCAAACCGATGTAGCTACTTTATTTTTGAAATTCGCTGGGGTTCAACATAACATATCAGACTTACGAATGACGGGTTTGCCGTAAGACGAGGGGCCACAAACTAAATATCACTGAAGCAAATAAAAATGGTGTACATCAACATACCATTTTCCAGTTTCATATGTGTTCACTGCACTACTTAACTAACGGTTTATTTACCATTTTAGCAGACAATTGGAGATTTCGTGAAGTTGGATCTCTTTATTAATCAATCGAAAACTTGTGCAATGTTCGTGCAAAACCTGATTAGACATGCAACATTATAAACCGATATCCACTAATTAGCAATGTGACTTGTAATCTGGGTGTCAATGCGAATGCATTACTTCTCTTATTAAATAAATATCCCTTTACATAAGATTATGTATTTCCCCGTCTTGAAGGAGTTATTAAACCGAGTTAACCTTGGCCGCAACAACCCAAGTTGTTATCAAATGGGTATTACGTCTCACGAAGCCTACGTATTGCACGTAAGTCCTCGGTACAATACGTTGTCCAAATACTTCAAACGTTGCTTATCAGTGATATTACTGATTTCTACGAGTAGCTTTGGTGTACACTGTCAGCTTGCCACATCTGACATTGCACAAACATGTCAAGGGCATCTATGCAACTTGGTAATAGCAATCTACTTTCTCATACTGCTAGGAAAACGAAAGCAAGTAATTAAGGATTATTGAGTAATATATTAGAACACTGTTAGTGCAAAATATACATTCGGCTGCTAGTTATCCTGTAATATATATTTATCAATCAGCTTTTCAGATATTCGTCTGAGTTACTTTACTTACTATTTATTTACGCCTCTTACTCCCAATGGAGCATAGGCCGCCGACCAGCTTTCTCCAACCCACTGTATCCTGGGCTTCCTTTTCTAGTTCTACCCAGTTCTTGTTCATTCTTCTCATGTCTGTCTCTATTTCTCGGCGTAATGTATTCTTTGGTCTTCCTCTTTTCCTTTGGTCTTCAGGATTCCATGTGAGGGCTTGTCTTGTGATGCAATTAGCTGATTTCCTCAAGGTGTGCCCAATCCACTTTCCGCGCTTCTTCCTGATTTCTTCCTCCGCTGGAATCTGGTTTGTTCTCTCCCACAGTAACTTATTGCTGATAGTGTCTGGCCATCGGATCCAAAGTATCTTGTATAGACAACTGTTAATAAACACTTGTATCTTCTGGATAATGGCTTTCGTAGTTCTCCACGTCTCCGCCCCATACAGTAGAACTGTCTTCACATTTGTATTGAAAATTCTAACCTTGGTGTTGGTTGACAATTGTTTTGAGCTCCAGATGTTTTTCAGTCGTAAGTATGTTGCTCTTGCTTTGCCGATCCGCACCCTCATATCTGCATCTGATCCACCGTGTTCATCAATGATGCTGCCCAGATATGTAAAGGTTTCCACATCCTCCAAAGCTTCTCCGTCATGTGTAATTTGATTGGTGCATATTGTATTGTATCGGAGAGTCTTGCTTTTCTCTTTGTTTATATTGAGACCTACTGCTGCTGAGGCTGCTGCTACACTGTTCGTTTTCTCCTGCATTTGTTGTTGCGTTTGTGATAGAAGAGCCAGATCATCCGCGAAGTCTGAATCGTCAAGCTGCATCCTGTCTGTCCACTGTATCCCGTGATTTCCTCCAGATGTTGACGTCTTCATAATCCAGTCGATGACCAGGAGAAAGAGAAAGGGTGAGAGTAAGCAACCTTGCCTTACACCGGTCTTTACTTCAAACGAGTCGGTGAGTTGTCCTCCGTGGACGATTTGGCAGTTTAGTCCATCATAGGAGTTCCGTATGATATTTACTATCTTCTCAGGCACGCCGTAGTGTCGAAGAAGCCTCCATAGTGTCGTCCTGTCCACGCTATCAAATGCCTTCTCGTAGTCGATGAAGTTGATGTAGAGTGATGAATTCCATTCGATTGATTGTTCCACAATGATCCGCAGAGTTGCGATTTGATCTGTGCACGATCTATCCTTACGAAATCCAGCTTGTTGATCTCGAAGTTGGGCGTCCACGGAATCCTTCATCCTGTTTAACAATACTCTGTTGAAGACTTTTCCTGGTATTGAGAGAAGAGTGATGCCCCTGTAGTTGTCGCACTTGCTAAGATCGCCTTTCTTTGGTATCTTGATCAGAAGTCCTTCTTTCCAGTCTGTTGGTACTTGTTCTTCATCCCAAATCTTACTGAAGAGAATGTGGAGTATCTTGGCAGTTGCTGTCTGAGTATCAGTACAAATAAGGGGGATGTATATTTTACTAGTAACAGCGACAATCCGTGCAAGTATGTTGTCTTGTAGTCGTCAGCTACATGACATTTTCACTGAAGCAGATAGCAAACAATTTGCCTAATTTTTACGTAGACGCCATGAGTACATACAACCTGCAATTGTTCGAACTATCCTTTTCATACACGTTAAAGAAGTTTTCTAATTCAAGAACATTTAAATGGAACTGTTTACAGAAAACTATGGAATAGGTCGTTCGGAAAATTTTAGAAGCATTTCACATAGTCTGACAACCAAACCAAAAAAGTTTTGCTTCTCAAAAAGGGATCAAATATATAAACTCACATATTACAATCCACAGGTCGACAATTTGAGAAGTTCAACACACAGGTTTACTTCAGCTGCAAGACAGACGAAAACATACTATGCACGTGGCTGTTATTCGTTGTTTTCCGAAACATACAGATCTGACGGCACACATACTATTAAATCAAGCTAGCCTATAAATAGTCCACCGACCCGAGGAACCTCGAAAAGAGAAAATTTTCAAATCCAATCTAACTTCTATACGGTGCCTATCTGTACCGATGACTGGGAGCTCACTGGGTTTGAACGAGAACGATGTGACCTATTATTCTACGTTGAAGTCACACATCATAGTTAGTGCCTAACATGGATTAGCCTTCGTCATATCCAGGTAGCATGGCTACCTTGATAACAGTACAATGCAAATAATGTTATGAGAGAAATGAATTAGTAAGAGTAGGTGCAAAGAGCAGAGTGCGACGAGTAACTTGTCAGCCAGTCCATTGCGTGCGATTAAACAATGTGTGTTGGTTGTCCTTGGCTCTTACGAGGGTCAGTGAACTGTTTGGTTTTCAGTGATCTGAATGCCGGATGATTAGGCTAGGAAGTAAGGAAATTTCATTGGATCATTCACGTGTATAGTTGCACTGTTCTAAGAAAACAAACATATTACACCTTATTTCCAGTCGAACTTATCGCTAAAATACGAGGTAATTTGAAATGTTTTTATAGGTTCATTATGAAAGGAAAATATAACCAGGGGGTTTGTGGTTTAATAGCTCCCAAATTTGAAGATATTACCAACCTTGAGATTTAAGGATTCTTTATTGCCAACTTCGCCAATTAATCCAGCCAGGAACCTACAAGCGTGGAAAATTATTTGACTTTGGTGTCGGGCGATCGTTAGAGAAATGTCCATCCAATTCCCTTATCAGTATCGAGGTAACTGAAATCAATGTGAGGGCAAAAGTCTCAATCATAAAATAGCGCTCAGAGGGCATAAATATACATGTACGTTATTTCTTCAGTCACCCAATGGAATCTCAAAAACCTCCAAAAGAGTTAAAACAGACCACTCTTTCTACGAGTTCATGATCATTTGATAAAAAAGACATAACATGCTGCACACAATACTATTGAAGTTAGTGGGAGGCATGGACGATTAACAAATGATAAAAATGAACAAATACACTTCTTATTAAGCTCAAAATGGGCTTAAAATTCCAGGAAATGAAAACCCAATGTTGTCGTTTTGTAAACAGCCGAAGGGCCTTCTGAGACCAGTCGATACCGGCTGATGCAGTTTCCTTCGACTTTTTAAAGTGGTTTGAATTAGCACCTCAAGTAATACTGATAGTGAAAGTTCAGAGATTAAATTTCATTGACTATTATTCACCCTAAATCCAGAATCACCTGGAAAACGAGATGTGACGCACTGAAATAGTTACAGTTCTCCCCATTTGGAAGGTCTCGACATTAGGAGTTCTACAAAGTGCCGTATTAAATCCACTCAGCTTCTAGAGTTCTAATAAGGGTCTCGAAGATAAAAACTAACTCAGTGACTTGCATTCGGACCAAAATTTAACTTGTCAGAATATCATGTTGCGAGCACCCATGTCCATAGGTCTTAAACAAGTCGCTTACCTACATTCGTTCAGAAATATCAACCACGGAAGGAATAAACACCATCTCAAAATACTCAATGTGTGAAGCTGAAGAAAATTCGGCCGTTTGTTTCATACGGAGGCAAATTGGTGTAGTTACCACGGAGTTATTTTTGATACTCTTAAGAACAGACCCACGGCATCATCATGAAAGCCACTGCTGAGATACAAGGGATAGTGAAATGTATCGTTCATATAGATATTGCAAACTAAATTATTCATCTTCATTGAAGCTATATTATTTGAAATTTTATCAGATAGAATATTTTTTGCTTGTTCTAGTACTTCAATATCAATAACACGACCTCGGAAGTTTTTAAAAGTATATTTACCTACGCAACACAGTGTTGTGGTATTTGTGATGGGTTTGGAATGTTACACAGTGTTGGAATGTATAGGAGAAGGCTCTTTCGGACGTGTTTTTCGAGGACGAAGAAAGGAAACTGGCCAGGTTAGGTTAAAATGTTATCTGTGAATATGTGTATTCTTAAAGATTGTAGCCATGAAGTTTATACCGAAAGTTGGGAAGAGCGAAAATGCTCTTAAAAATCTTAAGCTTGAAATTGAAATCATGCGATCAATGCATCACACCAACATAATAGAAATGCAAGACTCATTTGAGACAGAAAGAGAGGTTGCTTAGACCTACATTCCTAATGTCATTGCCACAAATCTGCACTTTAGGTAGTTGCGATTACTGATTATGCTGAAGGAGATCTTTTCCAAATAATCGAAGATGATGGCCGACTTTCCGAAGAAACGGTAGTTTTGTTGGCTCTTTCGTATATACTTCTCAGGTTAGGTCCGTGGCTTGTCAGTTGGTATCTGCACTATACTACCTCCATGCCAACCGTATTTTGCACAGAGATATGAAACCACAAAATATTTTGCTGGGTCAAGATGGCGTCGTCAAGCTTTGTGATTTCGGGTTCGCGCGGGTCATGGGCTGGAATACTTTAGTTCTGACATCTATAAAGGTTCTTTTTTACCCGTTTACCAATACCCATCATTTGTAGGGAACTCCTCTATATATGGCGCCAGAGATTATTGAAGAAAAACCTTACGATCATACAGCTGACCTATGGTAAGCATTTGAGTTTCTTAATTACATATATTAAGGGCACTGGGTTGCATATTATACGAACTGTTCGTCGGTACTCCTCCGTTTTACACGAACAGTATCTTTCAACTCGTCAAGATGATTACAAAAACTTCTATCCAGTGGCCTCCAGATATGTCCTCTGTTTTTAAGGACTTTTTGGCCAGGTTATTGCAAAAAGATGTACGACAACGTTTGCAGTGGCCAGACCTTTTGGATCATCCATTTGTCTGCGATAAGATTGAAAGTAACGTAATGCAGGTTATTTGTTGTTGAGTATGCATTTTTGTATTACTTTATTTCTGTCAGAGTTTATCAGTCAAAATCACAAGTTAAGAGTGTGTAATTAATCATCTGTTCACGTATAGTTGTAAAATCCACTTCTTAATCATACCGATAGTTTTAATATCCTAAATGGTTTTCTTTCTGGAGTCACTCACTCATTGAGACACATCCCAACCTGCCTGTTTGTGTCCTGTTAGCGAATTGTTTGCAACATGTAGTTATGGGTTTTAGGTAATATATAATCGTTTTGAAAAAGATCTAGCAACTATGAAGTTTGTAGGGTCCAGCAATGATATTAATCGACATTTGTAAAATGTCGAAATGCAAATCAACTGGATATTTTTCTAGTCATTTTAAATGAATTGTAATTTCTCAATATGTATAAAGTTTTATTCACTGAACTGGGATTATCAAATAAAAACAATCGAAAAACAGCATTTGTCCCAGTGTGTTGCGGTTTATCATCAGTGTACAGCGTATTTAGTTTATGAGTAAGCTCTCTTAATTCGAACTTTTTAAACAATTATATATTTACTGTGGACAAATATATACACGGCAAGGGTAATATGTGGGTGAAATGTGTGTTTTGTGACTTTGTTTTGGTGCATTCATAGATTTATCCAAAGTTTGGATCTGGTCATTCCTGTTGTCTTTAAAATCGTCAAGCGTATAGTGTTGGTGCCTGTAATGTTCAGGTTTGACTAGACATTTTTCAACCCCCTCAGTCAGTGATGATTTATAGCCTTATTGACATATTTATCTTATTAACCAATCATTTCTCGCTGAGGGTTCTCAGCGTATCTAAATCGGTATTTTGACGACACCTATAATCGGTTGCTGACAAATTACGCATGTATTCAATTTTAAAGACTATGCTTTGGATTTTCAAAGTAATATTGGGATTACCCCTACTCAATATACTCGTTATCTGATAGATATGTGGACATAATATCTACTCTATTGGTAGATAAAGATAATTTAGGTCGAATAGGAGTCTAATATTTGTACATTACACCAATATAAGTTAATCGCTTGGTTCCTTATTCAGCAATAACTTACATGTTTAGTATTTATCCGTTCATTATTGTAGTTTATTATCCTCCAAAGTAATCATTCAAATTTTAATGTTAGTTTTAAAATGAGTGTCTTGGTGACGTTTCTGAAAATAACACTTGAATAATGAATAAAATCAAACTGGCATAGGTAGCCCACTTATTAAATCTAATCATTGTATCAAGTATCTAAATATTTACTTTTAAAAACTCCATCCTTAAAATTTTTTCTCGCAGTTTCTCCGGGTGTTCGTCTTCTTTCTAGTCCATTGACTCAGCCACTAACTCCGAGTCAGCTAGCAGAAAAAGAAAGACAAAGATTACTGATGCTGAGACCAAATGGTTCAAGAGTACTGAGACGAGCCGGCGGTGACCAGTTTGGCAAACTTAAGCAGGTAAAAGAGGAAGATAAGACTGACGACTCTCTAGACCGACGCCGTGGAAAGTCTGTTGTCAGAGAAGTACCAGAATCAGATCAAAAGGGGGACGTAGTTGATAAAAGACATTCAAAACAAATTTCAGATAGGCCCCCGTTTTTGAAATGTGGCGATGGAGAAAAAGTGAAAAAACCGAGAACACATACAAAGGCTATTGAGGAGCAAGAGGAACTAGTTAAAAGACCTAATTCAGCGGACACTAACCTGGTAAGGGACATCAAAAATTTGACTGTCTATATTACTAAACCTAGTACAAAACTCCGTTCCTTAATCTCAATGGCTTATCTACTACCATTTTGTCATTCTGGAGTATATTTCATCGATCAAGATCCCAGACTTTTCAATCAATAAGGTTTTAGACTTTATGGTTTGTTCAGACTGTTGAGGCTTAGGAAACCACGTGGTATTATTAACGGTTTAATAAAATTTATAGCTCATTGCGAAGTACATAAACTTGCATGTAATAGTTTTGTTGCATTTCAGTTCCGTATTTTGCGAGGTGTAAGAAAGTAGCTTTCATTGTTCTCGCATAAACGAAAAACCTTTGTGTATTAGCAACGTGAAGTAAGATGGTTTTCGATGAAACTTTGTATTTTGTATCTCTTTCAGTTAATTTCTTCACTTGAAACTTAAGTGACCAGCAAAATGCCAACCAGTTGTGAAATGTTTTGAAACAATCTGTATGGTAAGATCTTGATGGAGACAGTTATTATGACTGCAACATATGAAAGAATGATAAACTGGTTGGCTCGATGCTTAGAACATAGTTTAGTAACGGATAATTCTATATTGTACCAGATTATAATATTGAATAAAGCCACTAATAATAATAATAATACGTAAGGAATATGTTTTCCTGAAGAAAAATCTGACTAACTTTACACGAAATGTGCAATGAGTTTCTATAACCATACTAAGTTTAATGTTAGCAAGCCAATATTCAGGTAGAAAATATTTTATGCAGATTATGAAAATAGTTGAAATTTAGCATAAAGATCTTTAGATGTCGAAGGTTTTGAGTAGGCGTGAATTTCGGGGACTGTGGATTCGTGATGAGAATTAAAGAGTTTTATAACCGGAATTAAAATCCAAACAATAATTGATTGTAACTTTATAGTGTAAAATTATGATGAATATCATTTGCAATAATCATAGTGAATCTTTTGTTATTATTTGTAATGCGATAAATTGTCATTAATCCCTCTGAATAAGTGTTGGTGGAAGTAATAATCTACTAATAATTTCCAATAAGCTTGAAGTTTTCACCTGATGTTTTTTAAATGGGTTCCGATTTTAATTAGTTCTTAGAATTTAGAAGCTGACGAAAAATTTTCCGTTTAAGCCAGTACATATATTTCCGGTCAGGTAAAACATTTTCCTTAGATATTTAATTTTCGGTTTACAAGAATGTTTTTATTATTTATAATCTATAGAAAATTCGAATAATTCAAAAATACTGCATTGTTCGACAGATTTTAAACTACTTATCTATTGATTCTGGGATTTCGCTCAACATATGCTAAAGAAGTTTAAATCATTTCGTTAGCTATCTATCTATCCATTTGACGTCGTAGAAATCAAGAGATACATATCCACGTCAGTCTTTTAAATTATGTTGAACCAAGATTACCATAAGTTATTTGCTGGTCAAGCATGATAGCTTAGTGTACAAGGTTCTAACAGGCCATCAAATAATCTAGAATAACCATTTTAATTATTTATAAGCCATTCTAATATGGAACCATTCGCTCATTACATTCATTTTTCCGAAGTTAGTTTCCACTTGACCTTGTACTGGTGCACTGGGAAAATAACTAAGTTAATTATATACGTTGCTAAGTTTCGTATTTTTATATATGATTATAATTCATGAATACTTCACTTACCAACCGTATGTACCTTAATGCTTTTTCTCAATTGTATCCTATTCAAAGGGCGGGAACGCATTGTCTAACCAAAATTGTCCTACCAGACGACCTCAAAGTTGTGATGCCTTAGGATCCAAAAAGGTATATTATATCTTCGTTTTGATATTTAATTATTCTTAAACTAGTGAATGTGTCTAAATTTTTAAATTTTTGTAACTGCACAATATTAATGAGAAGTAACTCCAGTATTGATTTGTCACTGAATTTCAGTAAAATAAACATTCTTTGTACAGAAATATCTCAGTGCTTTAGGCACTCAAATGGATTTGGTCTTTTGAATTATTTGAGCGATAATTTTATCTGGTAATCATAGTGATTGTTTTTTTAGTTGATTGTTAACATTCGGAAATTCATTTATATGCCGACTTCCTGGTTATGAAGTAATGACACGAAAATTAAGATATCCTATTGACCAATCAGTTTTTAATTATTTTAACAAATTATTTAAGTATCAGTTATACAGAACAGACTAAGATGTCTTCTGTACAATCGGCACTCGGTATGCAACTGATTGACCCTATTCTCTGTTAACAATGTGGGAATTAATGTATATATATATATATATATATATACTCTGAGTAACTGATAAAAGAACTGGATTGGTGGTACTACGCGGCTATAAACAGCAAGGAACGTCTGCTGAAAATCATTCCTACTCTATATTTTTTTAAACATTAGTCTTTGTGGAATGTCAGCCATACCCTTAGAACTTAATGGTAACTAATTTTTATTCGATTGAGGAAAATCGACTAAACTATATTCATCAGATAAAGGACAAATATATGTCTATGATGTTTGAAGTGATGTTGTAGTTCACTTTGTAATTGGATCTCATCTTATTCACGAAATGATTACCACAATGGCTTCTGATGCAAATCAGATAACATTGTAAACCTTCTTTCGACTTAATTCATCATCATTAACGTGTGTTCATCTAGGAAGTTTACTGATTACCTTCGTTTTAATTAACAAATATTGGAAAAATATAAAATGTGTTGATTTCTTATAGTTGTCACTGTTGTCGTATCTGCAGATGTATAAAGGTATGGGTCATTATCACAAGTTCAGCAACTATGTCCCGGATTAGAATGTATTTCTAGTGATAATGGTTTTATTATTTGATTTAACCCTATATCATATATCGTGGATAAATCTAGAAATGACTACTGAACAGCCCATATGGGGTTCTAAGCACCTTAACCTGATAGGTCTGGCACTATAATAGACATTTTAATGATCATACACTGATCAGTAGATTCTCGGTAGTTACGTACGTGGAGTTTGCGATAACATATAACACGTATTCACTATTCTTTTTGTATAAATATTCAGAAAACCTCAGAATGGTCTCAAATTGAAGATATTCCTGTTGAGCCTCCAACTCCAAGAGAAAATCGAATATCTGCCGATTACGACCGCGAAAATGCAGTTCGAGAGTATCTGCAACTAAGTCATCAGGCACATTGTAACACAAATATCAAACAACATTCTGCAGAAAAAGACGATGCCTTGGTAAGTAGAAAATAAAGATTAAAATCTTATTTAGGTTACTATGAATATAAAATATTTTGGTCTGTAGTATCGAATGATATTCTGCTCCTATATATTTGTTCAGACATAACACCGTAAACAAATCCAGGGTTAGTACAGATTATTGACTTGCCAAAGTGAGATAGGTAGGGCACTTTTCAACCCTGACCAATTGGTCAGATCATTACATATAGTTGGATTAATGCATATTTCCTGTTTTTAATCCATGCTTTTCGTCATTCAACTTAATCTCCTGACGGTCACCTTAAATTATGTTTCTGTGGAAACTGATGGTTGTTGGATTTCATCCAATAGATATATGTTTAGCGCTTCAGAATTTTGTTAGACTAGTTTGGTGCATAATTGACGATCGATCTAATTGAGAATAATCCGAGTCCAGACTTTTGATTTTTTTACAGCATATTCGACCTCCATAAATTTCACACAACTTTATCCACTGGTAAACTCAGACGAATCAAGAACAATAAAATGTTAAGAATAAAATGAAGTTAGTTAGAGATAGCCTAAAGTTACAAATGGTAATGTGACTAGAAACAAAGGTTTGACATATCTCGGTCGATAAAGTTGATGTAGGATCTGAATATCATAATATACGTCAATGTGATACAAGGTATGCTATTAAACAATTTCAAAATTAAAAGACTAATATTTGAACGAAGAATATTCTTTTCGATAAATTCTCTTCAGATTCTACAATTATATATCCAAATTAATAATCCGAAAAAATGGCCAGGTTAAAGGCAAAGTACATCGTTTAATGCATGTAAATTTAGGAATGTCAAATCAAATAGATTGTAAATTTACATTCATCAAACGATGTACTTTGCCTTTAATCTGGCCATTTTTTTCGGATTATTAATTTGGACATATAATTATAGAACCTGAAGAGAATTTATCGAAAAGAATATTCTTCGTTCAAATATTAGTCTTTTAATATGACTGGGATTTTTAAACGATTAAAATTTCAAAATTGATATTTATTTCTATGTTGAAAGAAAACAACTAATCATCTAAAGTATGTCAACATTTTGTTTCTTATCAAATAACTCTACCTAACTTTAGGCTGTAAAGCTGATGAGTGGCAACAAAATATAATGAAATCATTTTGTTCTGGAAATCTTATTGTCGTGAATTTAATGATAGTACCAACACATGCTGTTGTAGGTTGAGATTTTATGATCTAGTGAATGATCTTCGGAATTTTGGAATTAATAAACAGAATATAGATTGTTAGATGAGATATTCTGTACCCGAGTGTTGGCTGGTTACAAAGAAATATTCATAATTCAAACGCCTGAATAAACTGATATCAAATATAAAGCTACTATCCAGAAGAATACTTTTTCCTTAGTAAAATTACGTGCTTATAAATGAAATCTTAAATACGAAAGTGTTATATCCCGTGGAGATTTATGAATAGTAACTTTGAGGACTATTTATGGACCAATGTGATATGTATATTTCCTATTGTATAATTGTTAAGTAACTAAACTATTCGTATTCGTGTTCCTCTTATCATAAGCTCTATTTTGACCTATGAACTATTATTATACGATTTACCATTCTTGAGTTATCTCCAGTCTATTAATTACTGTTCCCGCTATTCACAGCCACATTTGACCAAATCTTGTACAAATGTTATTTTCTATTTAATGGTACGATATGGTCTGTCTGTTTGATATATAAACCCAGTATGTTTGAGAATAATCATTCGTATTGCAAAGGCTATTATTGGTGTTTTGGACTTAACTGGCTGGGCTAGGCAGATAGCAGGACTGATAAGTGCTCAAGACCGCTCATACGGTTTTTATGTACCATTGCTCTGATCGATAATTCACTTCTCTCTGATTGGCGGGGGTCATCAAATCATATATTAAACAGGGCACGCACGCATTCAATCGATATAACAAGAAGAAGACAGATAGAAGTCACTTAAAACATAAGCTATTGGAGGGCATGGATTTCGTAGGTCACTTAAGTGCCAATGAGATTTAGACCTAACTATCAGGCTTATGCAATATACCATCTGCTTACTCTATGTTGTATTTTTTTAATTCATTTATTTGGTATTCCCAAACAACTTGTGTTAATGTGTTAACGTCTAACTTCAACCACTCCAACACCGTTGGATGCCGGCTCAGTGGTCTATCGGTTAAGTGCTCTGGAGCGAGACTGGTAGGTCCTGGGTTTGAATCTCGCGAGTGCGGGATCTTGGATGCGCAATGCTGAGGAGTCCCACAATAGGATGAAACGGCGGTCCAGTGCTTCCAGGTTTTCGATGGTGGTCTAGCTTCAATTGACTCACGCTTTCAACTATGAAAATACTGAAATCTCCACAAACTCCTTCTGATCTATATATCTTATTATCCATTATCATAGTCAGACAAATTCCTATCGGACTATCTAAACAATTAATAATCAACCTTGGTAGCTAAATAATGCTTGTTTTTCTCCATTAGAAATTTTCCAAGATGAATGTATTTTTTATATTTGTGGAAAAACACGGTAAGTACCAAATATTTTAGTTGCCATTATACCATTTTTAGTATGATCAGAAAAATATCATTCTTCAAGTTTTTCAAAAAGACTACAATGCTTATTCAATGAATCCCGGTTTACTGTTTTAATTTAAATTTCTAATGATTTTTCAATCGTTTGAGGCAATGACATTCAATTTTTAACTTTTTCAGGTTGATGATATACCAAAAGATCAATTAGTAGAAAAAAATGATATAGAACATTTTCATTCAACGGTTAGAAAACAAAATTCGCTTGATACATTTGATTCAGTGTCAAAATCAAATCATTCAGTAAAGTATACTGGTTGGTGGTTGAGAGCTAGTGCAGAAGCCTGGGAACGTTTAGCTGATGCTACTGATATTGAGTTTCCTCATCCACCTGGTTGTGAAACAGAAAACTCTCGACATTCTATAGAAATCAGACAACCGAAACGAAGAACAGCTTTAAGTTTACTCTGTGACAGTGAATTTGGCCAGCGGTTATCATTGAGATTGACATCAGCCTCAGTTATTGATGAAAGGGCTGCATGGGAGTCTATCCACTCATGGGCATCAGCTTTAGCTGAAGATCCTTCTCCAAAAGATCATACTCGTCCAGTTTCTGCTGGAACGGTTGTATCGAAAGAGTCATCAGATGATGTAGAGTCAGGACTCGAAGCAGCTGCTTATTTAAGGACTTTACTTCGCCTAGTGACAAATCTAATCACTGTCAAATGGTGAGCATAATGAGGTTAATATTATTTTTTCTTGAATTAAACTGTAAATATGACATCTATTCTGTTGATTCAAGCTTCTTATCTTGTATTATACTATGCTTCACGTTTTGTTGTGCAGAAGCTTACATTTTGTCTTTTGACAATCCCATATGCATTCGTATAATTTAAATACTTAAAGTTACAACCCAGAGAGATCTTATGAAACATTTTAGAGGTTTGGTCTTTAAATTAATCTTCAGTTTGTAACCATAATGATATAACACTACCCTAGAGACCAATTAAACAGTGAATATAATTTAAGGCTTAGATTATTGCAGATGAAAACAAAGACCATGTATTTGAAAAATGAAAACGTAGCCACTGATAGCAGGCAACAACTTTTAAGATTTTTTAACCGAAGTGTCAAGTCATTTAAGAGGGAGTTTTTGGAAGTCACTGATTTTTTTCAATTCTTTCCAATATTCATATGTTCTCTATTTACATTTACCACCGACTTTTCATTTGGCTAAGAATAAACAATTCGTTTTGCATTGGCGCCGAATTCCATAATATGAAAATATCTCAGTTTGTTCTATCAATATATCTCAATAATTGCTATTTTACACTAAGGGACTTTAGAAGGTTTAATAGTCTCTCATGTCTAAGCTTTTTCGATGGCATAGACAATATGGTCAGTCGAAAAACTACTTATTCAGTAAAATACAGCTTTCACAGTAAATCTTTAGTATTTAGCCATCATTGTCGAATCGTTATCTGTAGTAAACTTAACTACCGTGACTATATGACTTACTAGTTTGAATTTGTTATTGATCTGATAAGATTCGGTGATCACATAGACCCCGAAAAATAGAAGTGGATCAAGTGTAATGACACTAACAGTCAAGATCACTAGGCAGAACTCAGAAAAAAGTTATCCCATGACTAAAATCTCGCATTATATTTATCTACTAGTAAATTTTCTATAATCTCAGATTATCACTTTATTATTTATAATGTCCAAAAGTATGTTTGTCAAATCTTTCACATCACACTATGAAAATGAGTTGATGAGTATTGATATTATGAAGTGGTATTTAAAACTGTTAAGCATTCAGTTTCCAGTTAGTATGTTGAAGATTCCAGTCGCTAGTCCCACCTACTTATGTTTGGACAATTGAAAAAAAAATTAACACCAAGTCAACCTGATATGGAAATTAAAATGCAAAGCTAAATGACTACAATAACCTTGTATGTGATTAAAATGAGTTACATGTATATAATTATTGAAATGAATCAAACCTTTTTATATTCCATTCATAAGGGAAGAGTAACTTAAACCTATACAAAATTAATATCTGTTATGAAATATTTTATCTACGGGAATTAATGTTATCATCATTATTATATCACTTTTAAAACTAAAAACAATCTAACACTTGGAGATTTTTAAGCACATCAAAAGGATTAAATTCACTTAGGGTTGTTTTCTTGCATCTTCACATTGTTATTTAGGACCGCAGTTAACCAGTCTCTTGTTGACATATGTGCAAGCTGTGCGGATGACCTCAATATTGCTCTATGCCACAAACTTTATAAGCAAAGATGGATAGCGGCTAGCAATGGAATCTAGAATTCGCGTTTCGTTCTATTCGTAACTCGTCAGCTGGATGTACCTGCATCTCAGAGTTGATGTTCACTCTGGGACTCGAACCTAGTACCTTTTGCTTCAAACGCCATCGCGTTATCTACTCAGATACTGAGTCCTGATAGTCACTTGCTTGTGCAATAGGTGAAGTTTAAATTCACTTAGTGTTGTTTACTTGCATCTTCCCATTGTTGTTTTGGACTGCAATTAATCAGTCTGTGATGTGGGTACATCCAGCTGACAAAACGCGCGTCCTGGGTTCCACTGCTAGCCACTATCCATCTTTACTTATAGTCAAAAGGATTGTTTAATAGTTATATTGTAGCAACACATATACTTTCAACAGAACATACTTTTCAACTATTTTCTATGTTTATGCTTTGTCATGGATGGAAAAACACATAAAGAAACTAACTCGTCAGTAATAAGTTACACATACATTTGTGTTTGTATATAGGTAGGTGTATGAATATATAAATCAGTATGATATAATATGGTTATATCATAAATTCAAAAATCAATAAATTTTTATCGATTTTTATGCTTAATAAAATTTTATTAATAATCAATATATACTAAATAAATCATTTAAAATTTGAAATTTTACTCGGAAGTAAAACAAAGATCTCATTTATTTATATCACAGTGAAAATGAGATTTTGTTGTTTTTTTGTTTTAACTTTTGTTTAAAATAAGATATTTTGTTTAAACAAATTAATACATGGAGTCATTTCTTAAATATAAATTAAATTAATTCATATGTAGTACTTTAAAAATCAATAATAAGTAATGTTAGCATCAACAATAAGATACAAATATATTCAGTTATATCCTAGTGAAGATTAAATTCAGGTAACTTCTGGGAGCTAATAATGGACTAATATTATATATATATATATGTATATACTCATTTTATTAGTTACAGTCTCCCGCGTTCACAGCCACTTTTCGACTTGATCTTGTATAAATGTTACTCCCTATTTTATGGTATGATGCTTTCTGTTTGCCTAGTATATAAAACAAATATATTGGGAATAAATGATTCACTTAGTGTAAGCTGTTATTGGAGATCTGGATTCAAATGGGAGGGCTAGGAGAATAAAAAACCAATAAGGACGTTAGGCTGTTTATACAGATCGGACGTCATTGGTTTAGCACAGAACGAAGCTTGTATAAGTCGCATATCGATTGGCAGATAAATCACGTGATAATTAGCCGGGCTTAATAATACAGCATATTCAACTTCCGATATCTTAATGGGCTAAAGTATTCGTTTTGAATTTCACTGCTAACTACTACTCAAAATGTAATCGTAATGCAAATTTGAAACATCCATTCAAGTAGTCCATATAATAATGGTGATTAGTCTTGATTATTAAAAAAAGTAGATAACTACAAAATCTTAAAGTTAACAATAGGGTTCAAATCTCATTTGAATGATAAATGGAAGATTGTATAGTTATATCTGGAAGTATAAATGATAGAATATCATTATAAGATATTGATTGGTTTCTGGATAGTTGTGATTTTTGCACCATTCTTGTAAATTGGTATTTGTTTTAGTTATTCTATCAGTCTTTCCATTCTTAGCACATTATTCAAAGTTTCTTTAAAATTGTTAGCCGTCTTCATATGCATGTAATTATTTAATACGGATATTTCTGTTGTGTATGAAAATCACTTATTGTTATATTTCCTCTTCCTACGACCCATCTACTCCCATTGCTGAGTATTCTTAGGCACTATTTTAATCGACATCTCCCCAAATCAGAACATAGTTGAACAGGAAAGTAATTATATTCTAAATAAAAAGGTTGTATGTCAGTGGGAATCACAATAAAAGAAACGTTGATATTTTTATAGTTTTTTTTACGTAAGAAGATTCTAAAGCCTTTTCCAAGTATGCACTAGCGCTGAATAAATAAAAAGTAGTGAATCAGCGTACCCCAACATAATCCTGCACGGAACGTGCTTTAATCCAATCTATATCCCGCTAACAGTTATATTGTTGGTGTCATTTTAATAGTTTATTAATGAAGTGTTCATCTGCGATGCATAAGTTTGATACACATGATAAGCATTCTTAACATTTGTGCAACTTGCTATTAAGTGGTGGAAGTGTTCAAATTTAAATCATTCATTTGGATAGTGTAGTAAGAAGACAAGGAGACGAGGATAATAATGATAATAAAATGATGTTAAAACAATTTGAAACCTAATCACTCTGGATAATAAGCTATTTTTACCAGGGTAGGTTTAAGGTGAAAACAAACTGTTTCTGAATACACAAAGGGGTTTGAATTTTCGTATGGGTAAGGCTTCAATAAACCTTACTAAGGTCTTCTCTTAGCCCCCATTTCCAGTCTAGTTGACCTTTTATTTTTATATATAAATGTTCCTAACAAGTATATGTGTGGTCAGATTGTTCAAAACGTATTACCCTAATATATCACATAGTTCTGATAATCTTCGTCTTCTTATTACATTATCAAAATTTATCAAAGGGACTAATTGCTTTAAATCATTCGTGTTTAATACTGAATAGGTTTGCTTATTATTCTCATAAATTGTATGTTTATCAACTTGTTCATAGCATCTAATTACTTTTTTTGTAGAAAAAGGAATAATTCATCGAATCTCTTTTCTTTATTGTACCTTCTCATTTCAGTGATGTTTCGATTATTGTACAGTTTTGTGAAGTGACCGAGTTACCAGTGCAATTGATTAAATTAATGCAATCATTTCTGAATTTTACAAAATTACATGAGGTAAGACATTAATAATATATATTTTCTAGAATGAACTATGTATTACTGTTATTGTTATCATTACTATTGTTATTACTTAGTGGAATTTTTATCAGGTGGTCTTGACTGACAGACTAATTAAAGTGTAATAGACACGTGATTTGTATATGAGTTTCATGCACTAAATTGTATGGTTTTATGCTGGTTATTCAATGTCCATCGGCTTAAATTTTCAGTGATATATTTTTTCCGTTTTTACTTGTTAGTTGAATGGGGACAGTCATTCACCAACTAGTTTCAATGATGAGTTCTCTGTGTCTTAACCATAGAACAATGATCAAGAACCAATCAGTCACTTATGATTTGATGCATAGACCAGTTCAAACATTTTTATATGGCTACTTAGTAGGATCATTTACGGCTCTCATCGTTAATATTATTTACTGTAAGACACAACCTAATTGGTTTAGATTATTCGGTTCATCATTTGATCCTTATTTTCATTACTGGTTTCCACTGTCCAAACACATTCTTTCCGTAGCCCGAGCGATTTTATGGCGTGATGCCATATCTGTATTCGTTTCTCATCACACCTTTAGTGTGTTTATATGACAAGTAACTCAGACTCAATAAAATCTTGCAGTTACAGATCATAATTTCTACTTATCTTATTCAACCATCCTTCAAATTAAAAAAAATAGATGGACAAAATCACTATATCACATATTTCTTAGGTAATCATCTGTCCTAGACAATATATAATCTCGTATTCATCTGACTTGTTTAACTTTCATGCCTATATAGGTTAGACTCTTACCAATAAGTATCTGCTATGAAGTAAAACTTAAAAGTCCCATAGATTGAAAAAAATTGATCGAACCAGTAGTCATCCACCATCTTTAGCTATAGACATTTGCATAATTAACTTTACACCCACTAATGTTAGTTGATCCATTTGAACAAATCACTGGAAGTTATTAAAAATTATGTTGTTGACGAGTAGTACTCTGCTCATTGATGGTGGTTACTACAATTTCAACAGTATTGCTCACGTCACTCAAATCTATTTGGTATATTATTGCCTATTGAGAAACAAGCTTATTTATCTGATAAGTATATGTCAAGATGATATAGAAGTATGGATTTTCTAATGAAACTCTGTCCATCACTAAAACTATCTGCAACCTCATAGTTCCTATAATTCCCTGGGATTCGGTTGTCTTTACAGTGATTGATTGACGTTATTTTACATTGTGAAATATTTTGTACACATTTATCGATCAACCGTTCACTTATGCTGTTCCTGTTGATTTTGTGAACGTGACAAATGAATGTGCTTCATAACATAAAATAAGGGGAGCCTGGGATCTATTATATACTGATGTTTGTCTGTCTGTTTCAATTTTATAAAGTCCACACCTTCCAGCCGTCTATAAGATATTATTGTTGTCTTGTTAAACATTATTTTGAAGATCCGGGATAAGTAGTGATGAATTTTACTTTTTTTTCACTACAAAACTGTTCATCGTTCGTTTGCTTCATTTCTAAAAACAGTTGGTTTAAAACGAAAGTTCCCCAGCAATTGCTGAACTGAAATTTATTTGATTTTCTCAAGATATATCGAACTAAATTAGGCAGTAACTAGTGTTGAAGATTCGTAGGTCAGGTGAATGCTTTCGGTTGTATTGTTCTCTTCCAGATGGATGGTTTAGTTGCGAAATTTTCGTTTTCATTATGGACAACATCAGGACCCACTTTACGTGAAGTACGACGAACGATAACTGTAACTAGCAATACATTTGTTGAATTTATAGATAACTCTAAATTATTTGAATTTTCTTGTTTTATTTTAAATTAGAAAATGTGGTATGAACAAATTCTCCTAGATATAATTATTGCAATAAACGCCTATTTTGTGAGTGAAATTGGTCAAAGACAGAATATTCCACATTCGGTGTAAGTTGAAGTAAAAATATGTTCTTAAGAAAAAGGCTAAAATTGATAATTAAGATCTCTTTTGAAGTCATTTTTTTACCAGACTTTATCATAAACTTGGAAATCATTGAAAACCAAAGTGCAATGGATAACTATCTCATTCTAGCCTTCAGGATTTCTCTGCATTATACACCAACCACTCAATAGATCGAGCCCAGAACCTTTATATTACTGAGTCTAGCTTCAGTCTGTTTACACTGTACCTTGATTATCATCTTATATTCAGACGCCGAATCGGTATTTGCGTTCTTCTATAGATGTACTACTTTACTTACAATTGTATGAGAATACTTTCTATGGTGTTGTTGTTTCTCACTTAATCCATTACAGTTGGATAATCTATTCGGTGATTGAAATGAAGTTAAAATTGAATATTTAATCTGAAGTTTTCATATATTGGGGAATTGTTATCCACAGAGTCTTTTATTCATAATTTGTTCCACATTGAGTTTAATATGTATACATTATCTGAAGATCGGAACTCTATAAGATATTCTGTTTAGTCAGTGACAGTTATTAAATTTACACAAACTTTCTTTTGGGTCTCGGTTTAAATTTATGTTCATATCGTACTAACGTGCAACTACAAGACCAGCAATACAAATCACTCACAAAATACAGGTTTACATACGTAGGTGTGAGCCACAAATTTTTGTATGAGGGCTAGTTATGTTACCGTTTTGCTCATATAGAGGTAGATGAAAAGGAATTCAAACCTGCAACCAGGTAATTGGAATCCGATTACCTAACCATTAGGCTCCACTGTAAGAAATGGTTACAAATATTGATATGTGAGCTTCAAGTAGTGAGAAGTAAATTCTTTTTGTCTTTATTTGCTTAGAGTAAGTCAGCTTTGTCGATTGAGCGAACTAGTTAAGATACATAATAATTATATGATTAGTCAACTTTGAAGACCCAGTTTGAGTGTTGACACTTTGTATAGTGATGGTTCTTATATATTTACATGTATATTATTCGAACTCGAAACCTATCGGTGGAGCGCGCGAACGTTTAACCTCTAGATCACTGAGCCGGCGTCAAACTGTGTTAATGTCTAACTTCAACCGATTCACAAAATCGCGCCACCGTCCACCATTTTCTTCAGTGAGTAACTGTCTCATGATAGATCTGGTTGAACTCCACTGGTCACGGCTTCTCACTAGAATTCCAGGAAATACCTCTTGAAGTCAGTCACTAGTGAGCACATAATTATTATTATCAGAAGGTGTTGTGGATATTTAAGTAATTTAATAGTTGGATTCATAAGTTGATTGATTGTGGATCACCATGGAAAACCTGGGTTCGAATCCTGCTGGTGGGACAGTGGATACGCATTGCTGAGGAGTCCCATACTAGGATAAAACGGCCGTCCAGTGCTTCCAGGTTTTCCATGGTGATCTAGTTTTAATTGACTCATCAATTCAACTATTCAATTGCTAAAATCTCCACAACACCATCTTAATTTATTCGTTTACAGTTGCTGGTAGTTCAGATTGTTTGCATATATCGAATGTAATTCTAGAATCCACAACATTTCGTTTTGAATACACCTTCTCTATTATATTTCTCAAATTTAAACAGCTTTAAGTCTCAACCAAGGCGTTTTGTTTTTAAGAAAAAATCATAAGGTCCTTACATTAATCGATCCAAACACACACTGATCTAGAATAGATAGTTAATTTTGTGAAATAAATAAGAAATTAGTCAGAAAATTATAAACAAATTATTTAATTCATGAAGAAGTATATTTGATTTTGTAAATTACTTTAAAAAAGGATACACACACACTAGTACATGCACACACACACATGTACATTACTAGACGTTCATTATATGTATGTTAACAGTTAAAATAATAATAAAAAATTAACATAGTATTTAAATCTTGTGACTAAAATTTTATTGATTCGTCTTAACCGCGTTATATTTTAAGATAATCACACTTACAGTTCAATCAGGTTTCTTATTGATTAGTTTATCATTATAGTCAAAAAATTATCGTAAATCTTCATGTTGACAACATTCTCCTTCTCAATTGTTATAAGACTTTATGTTGAATGACATCATGATGATTAACTCTAAAGTTGAGTGCAAAATAATGATTGATCAACTAGTAGTAACCAGTTCCATATTAGCATGTCTCAGTCCTGAGTTATGTCAAACGCGTCACGAATAACTCAACTGTATTAAATTTGACTATGATATCAGACAACTTTTGATCGAATCTTGTCCTTTAAGGTCTCAAATATGTTGTGATGACGGTTGATATCGGGATTGAAGACTGGATCTAGTGTTTCTTTCTAAAAGTTTTCAAACGCCTAATACAACAGATCATTTTTATAAGTACTGCCTTGCACACTGTTTCTCACAATAATAAAAATTCTCTTTACTGATTTGTATTAACTAGTCAAAAACGTTGGTCGTATAAATTCTACTCTTAGATATCTGTTATTAGTGCTTAAATAGATTTCAGAACTGTGTTAAACTGCTCAACTCATTAATGTCAACGCATATTTGATCATCAGAGTGTGATTAGAGGTCAAGAGCGAACATTCAAAATTTTGGTGCAACATCTTGCTACTAATCTGGTTTTCAACAGATGAATGTACAGTGCACGTTCACGTTAATCTTCCCCCTTTTTTGTGCATAAACACATCGAATATTCGTAAACTGTTTTAATAAACTTTAATTTATTTTAGTCTTTACTGTTTCACTGGTTTTTCTGTCATATTACTAATACTAATATTATTAATAATAATTTGAAAAATTGTTTAATTATTTGCAGCTTACAAAGTTACACAGAACATGCTCTTTGTTTTATTGAGCTTGTACCGAGGTTAGTGAATCAGGATTGTGACAAAGAATTACACTTACGTGATCAAACTCTACTAGTGAGTTATTATTATTGACTAGAAAACTGATAATTTATTTTTCTGTGAAAAGAAAAGGGCAAAACTATCTTTGTTTTCATGTGTATTATTTTTATCAGTTGTCAATCAGACTTATGTATGTCTTGAATGATTTAGCAATTATTTTTCTAGCTAATTTCAACAGTACAATCTGACGTTTTATATTCCTTTTCTTGAACAGATTATTTTGACGAATATCTTAGTTAGGAATATTAATTACTTCAAGTTACAGCTTTGTCAATTATTCTACTTTGTCTACAAGATGAAAATAACCCACCTCTTACAGTTAAAGCAATTCGTGCATCGCCTTATATAGGTTTATGTAATTTTCTTTGATTTGCCTCCTTTTTGTCCTTGATGATTATTAGATACTATATCGTCTATTGGGTTCAAGTGGATTCAACTTAACTTTATAACTGACTTACTAATCTCTATCCTGATCCACTTATCTGGAATGACACAGCAACTAAATAACTGATTTATTGTGAATGTTTATTTAAAATTTTTACTTCTGAAACGACCACGGAATAGGAACAGAATGTAATCAATGTAACGTAATGAGTATATATATAATGTGATTCTAGACAAATTTTCATACTGTTCACCTTATTTCACTGTATTGATGACAAAATAACCTTGAGCTAAGATACTGTTGTTGTATCAAGCTCTATTTTAAATACAGTCAGGTAAACTGGTCAAACTGTTAGCTTATTTTTGGAAGCTTAATTTTCTCTCTCATTAAGAATAAATAGTATTGTTTCCATTATTAAAAGTTTATGATTATATTAAATTTTTGTAAAATATTTCTATTATATCCTTTACCATTTGTCTAGTGTATTCGTTATTTAATTGAACGTATGGTTGAGAGGCCATCTGCAGTTGTTGAGGAATTTTTCAATGAATTAAAGAAACATCATCTTCAAACTATAAAGACACTAGTATTGATGCCATCCATCAGTCGGTATAGTTTAGTTGGTAAGTTTAACATTGATTTATGTACATTTCAGTCAGTCATATGTCGATCACTTCAACTTCCCATATCATATCGGCACATAAATTTAAGAGTAGTATGAGTATTAACAGTATTAGCGGTAGTACAAAAGAATAGGCATAAAAGTTGTGATTCTAGAAAAAAACAGGTTTATGGAATAAAATATTTTTTTGAGACAGTTAAGAAGTTCAAGATCTAGGAGAAGATAAAAAGTAAAACATCTACCTGATTACGAACGACTTTAACTCATGTTATCTTATGGCTCCAGTCATTTCTTACGATAATCGCTTTGACCTCAACCAGGTGTTTTACACCTAACTACACCGCTCATCTCAACAGCCAATAAATTCATTGACTGATCTTTTGTATCTATTTACATGTGATTAAATAATTGTAAACGTATTGTGAGACAGAAGATTTACTTTCAAATGGACAACACTATGACAATTGAGACAGTATTCACTAAGTTCAGCGGTCAACGTAAAATGATATCACGTTTGTCTAGTACATATTGCTGATCAAACCCTACCGATCACAGTTCACTATGGTCTCTAGTTTAATTTATATGATATTGCATGAACTATACTTTGTTATTAGGTGTATTAATGATTGCTAATCAGTGTATACATCTGAGTCTTAAAAGAAGTCGGTTTTTGTTCGAAAAGCTAGTTATAACGTCACTGACTCTTACACCAAGTGATTGTGGTTCGAATCATACAAGTAATATCGATCCTTTTCAGATTGCAGATACTGCCTACTGACGAGTCCTAAGTAGCAAAAAACGTAGATTTAGGGATTTCTTCTTTTAGTTTCCAGCCACCAAAAAGTACTAAGAAGTTGTCTTTGATTTATAATTAATCACTATAAAACCACCTAGACAAATAATAATCTTAGGCTTTGTAGTAATAAGCTTCGAAATAGATCTCTTAAAGTTCTAATTATCTCTAAAATAAATCAAGTTCTTAGTTAAAAACAAGGAAATATCCGTCATTACAAAATAAACTTTGGTGCTTTTTTCGAATTTTAATCATCTTAGATGCTGATATTAATCGCTTAGACGATATTCGTGAACACGCTATGGCAGCATTGACTGCTTTCACATGTCCTTTGTCCACGGTATGTATATCGAACAAACATTTCAAAGATAATAGTAACAATTCTGTTGGAGGGACAAAACCAGGGAACTACTCCATTCGAACACATGATGTGAGTTTTGTTTATTTTTATTATTTCCTGTGGTTTGCCTGTTTATGTATTGCAACTAAGTCGGAAACGTTTCTACGCGTTTACCTATGAAGTATACAAAATATATTGTCACTTTTTATAGTCGTTTATTAATTGGTAATAAATAATTTGCTATGAAGGTTTCATGAAATTTCCTATAAATATCTTTGTTTTTTGTGTAAATGTCTCGCCATGACGTAATTTCGGGTCTTAATTAATTAGCATTAATATACGTGGACCATTTCAACCCGAAACAGTGATTACTGAATGTTAGTGTGCTAGTCATAAGACTTGAAAATCCTTGTGATCATACCTTATATGAAGTTCAATGTGGATAATGTTGATTTGTTCTAAAATGTCTAGTGATTTATTATGTTAAGTTAGAAAAGAACGTTTTCAATTCATGATTGTAACAATTATCCATTCTCTACTCTACGGAAATCGAACATTTACTCCTTTCAATGTTTTGCTGTTTTCCATAAAACACAGCTATGACACTATGCAGCATTATGTAGACAGTGTAATAAATCACAAAAATAAATTTATACAGTTTGCTAATACGTTTGTTTTTATTTCCAACTACGTAGTTATTTTTTATAAATTAAAAGTCATCGTATAATAAAATAAATGAAAATCTTCTAATTATACTTAATGACCTATAGTTTAAATCCCCAGCATAATTACATAACAATAGAGCTATATTCACCGGAAAACATGTTCCTTTAAATCCTATCATTCCAGGCAGGTTGTATGGAGAACGATAAGGTTAAGGATGAATTCGTACTGCCAACCGTAGAGGGATGTAACAGCAGTAGGCTGTTTTCCCCAAACAACCAGCATCTGCGGCGGTGCTGCCTTCTCATAACGCAAGGAAGTTGTTAGAAAAGGTCGACCCTAAAAATGTTACATTTCATTTTACCACATGGTTTTCCATCTGCGATATAGATACGTACATGGTCCTACTTTGTGACCGACCGACGGACCGAAATTAATGTACACTGCTTTTTTTATGAATCTCTTTATTTTCAGTAGCCGAAGTTGTAATGTAAAGAACGTAATGTCAATATATAGATCGGATCCTCGAATGCTTGATTGTTTGAGGTTGATAACTATTACACAGATGTGTAAATACAGTGATTGAGGTTTATATTGTAGCTATAAATTTATCTGTTTGTCAACCAATGTCAAAAAATATTATAGTGTGAGATTCTACTTGAAATATTCTTTCAAATTGGATTTTATTCAGTCTCCTCTTCAGATTCAAAATTATATTTTGTTTGAAAAGGTTATTCGCCGGAATTCCTCAAGAGATGAAGAATGCTACACTCTATTTAGTTTAGAGAACAGATCTTCATTCTGTCTAACTTATTTCTCCTGTCATTCTAATCTTAGTAACGGTGATTTATAGTGGACAATGAATCAGGTGTAATAGATCTTAATATGTTCCATAAAATTTTAATTTACCTCTATGTGAATGTAAATCCCTGTGTTTCATATAGTTAGTCATTTTCTGACTATCCAACTGATTACATTTTAAGTCATACTAACGTAACGACATACGATACATATTTTTACGTACTATTGTTTCTAAATAAACTGTATGCCTACTGTTCTTTTATTTAGTAGCATAATTTCACGTCATAAAATTTTGTTTGTCAATACTTATTGGTTGAATATGGAATTATTTTCTTGTACTTGAAATTGCATCATTTTACATATGCTTTATTAGATACTGTTTATGTAGCGATGTTTTATGAATTCGTATATTTTTCTCATTGGTAAAGTGAAATTTATTGACTTATAATTAGTGGATTTTACAATAACACTGACCAGTTGTTAAACATTGTGTTGGGCTGATATACAAATATCGTTCTCATTGTTTTTATCCAACTAATCACCGATCCCAGGCAAATTTCGTGCTCATAATTGTTCATTTTAAGCTATAAATTGTTATCATGTTAGGGAATTGTTTAAAAGTTGCTGTTTTAATCCGAAACCTTGTAAACATAGAGATGAGTTTATCGTTATTGAGGAAAAATGGCCGTTTATTAGAAATTTCGTTAGATGCACTACAAAGTTAGTATAACTACAATACCACTTACGTTTTAAGATGATAAATGTCTTATATTTTGCAATGGAAAAGATATCAAAAGTTTTATTAAATAAAATGTTTAATTTAGTTGATTGTCATTGATATAATTACTCAAGGATTATATGAATCACTGGATTTTATTCAAGTAAATCAATAGCATAGAGTGCTGATTGCGAATTATGAATGATCAGTATTATAGTTGAAGTCATGAGTCGTTTGAAGCGCGACCACCACTGGAAACTTGGGAGCACTGGGCGGCCGTTTCTTTTTATTGTGGGACTCCTGAGCAATGCACATTCACGATCCCGCTTCACGAAATTCGTACACGAGAGCTTAACTTTTTACTAGAACTCCAGGAAGTACATGTTGGAGCCAGTCAATATCCAATTTCACACATTGTCGTAGAAATCCAATGCTATGAAGTCCGAAATCATGTTAATATATATATATATATATATATATATATATATATATATATAATTATGTTAACTTTCCAGTTAAATTCAATTTTTTATTAAAAACGGTTTTATTAAATTAAACCGTTGATGCTCACTGTTGAGGAGTCCCACAATAAAACGAAGCGGTCGTCCAGTGCTTTCAGGTTTTCCATGGTGGTCTAGCTTCAATTGACTTATGATCTCAACTATTAAATTAATAAATTCATTCAGTATTGTTTGTTTGAATCTTCCCATCGATTTGTTAAGACTGCAACTGGTCAGTCTCTAATTAGCATATGTGCATACTGTGCGTATTGCCATTTGCGTATAACCAGTTGCAGTCCCAACAAATCGATGAGAAGATTCAAACAAACAATACTGAATGAATTTAAACTTCACCCCATCGCACAAGCAAGTGGCTATCAGGACTCAGTGGCCGAGTGGATAACGCGATGACTTTTGAAGCGAGAGTACTGGGTTCGAGTCCCAGAGTGAACATCAACTCTGAGATGCAGGTACATCCAGCTCACGAGTCCCAAATAGGACGAAACGCGCGTCCTGGATTCCACTGATAGCCACTATCCATCTCTGCTTATTAAATTAATAATTTACATATAACTATAAATTATTTTAATCATCTAATTTCTATCTCATTCTTAATATTATTTGATGTTAATTAATTTTTTTTTGGCATTTACAGTAATTTATTATTTATTGTCTTTTATAATTCATAATAATGGATTGTAGGTGTTATTCTCGTTTATGAAAATAAATTACATTTATAATATGGTTTGTGTTTGTGCTTATATGTGTATGTGTGTGTGTGTGTAGGTATGAATATAGGGTAATGATTGTACAACATGTTAAATGTAATTCGACAACTCCGAACAGAAAGTTGTAGATAAATTAACCGACTAAAATGTAATGATAATAATAATAAATGTCAATGTAATTATTTCACTTATGAAAGAAAAAAGGCATGATACGTAATTTACCTCGGGAACTCAAGTAATCAAAGTTATTTGTTTATTGAACTATAATTTGAATTACAAAAAGCTTCCAATTAATAGTTTAATGTTTATTAGGAAAAACGAGAGTAAATCATCATTATATGTGTTAACTGTAAGGATGGCTCGTTGGCAAGCTCAAAAATGCCTCAGGAAGCCCAGAACGAGCCGAAGACATTCCATCCGATCGCCACTAGGGGAACATTCTAGAATGTCGACGTGTAGCTCCTCTATTGGATGAATAAGAAGGACCCCCTCTGTGTCTACTGGCTATCCGGAATGATTTACTTTCAACCAAAAAATGTAAATACGTGAGATTTTTGTACTGTACTTGACTCTGTTTTTTGGAATAAAATTCCTACTTTCTAGTCTTCTGTCTACTCTCTTGCGACGTTGCGGGTTCGATCGTTTAAGTAGTCTAGTAGTACGCAGCACAACAAGAATCAAAGCTCCAAATATTACAGCTGGCGATGGGGTGGCAGTAATTTTTAAATTTATATATTATATCATGTTTAATTGTGTAGTGATGAATTTGACTTAGTTAAGTAACTAAATTAAGAAAATAAAATGTTATGGTGTTGAAAAAAAACTTATAACGGTTATTTTGTATAGTTTCTTGCTTACAGCTACATTTTCAACTGACTCCTGGGACAGTAACTATTGAAGATAAATGAGATCAGGCCAGCTCTTTCTTCTCAATTTGGAATTTGTCCAATGCAGACATTCACAGTCTATCAAGAGATCAAGTTAAGGACTATTAAGTCTTAGCGATTACTAATGAAATATTTGTTTAAAGCTATTTTGTTTACTGGGGTTTTTCATCTGGCCATCAGTTTGTAAACTCCAAAATTTTCTGTTTTTTCTTTATTTGACTAACCAATTAAAAAGAATTTCACTTTTGCATTAATGCAACTAATGACTTGAAAAATGAATGTTTATTTTACATTGTTTTAAGTATTTATCATTGTCATTCTTACTATATAAAATACTATAGATTTCTATTATTTATTTTGATTCATGTTGTATTTTTGTTTAGACATTTTAGAACCATTACTATTATTATTATCAATAGTAATGTGTTTTACCTAAAATATTCCAGGATGACTGTTAAAGGAATCTGTTGATTTCACTTTGAAACACAAATTCTACTGATAAATTTTTAGAATTGATGGAGAAAATATGAGATTTGTACACATAAGTGTCAAGTTAACGGTTAAAGTGATTTGTTTGTCTTTTTGAAAATATATTTACAATAAAGTTATAGGCTTTTATAGCATTCATTTTTGTCCGTTTTTTAATATGACAGATGTAGATATTTTGTAAAGGGAATTGTTTTATTACCATCTTTGATTTAGTAATAAGAACTTAAATAAACTTAATACTTCCACTAATGACTATATTCCTAAATGTTTTCTCAGATTATTATTACTATTGTGTATTGTTATCCTGTTTCTCTTTTTGTCTTACTACAGGAATCGTTTGCCTTGAAAACTCTAAATTTCTCTTCTGATCACATCAATTTGTTTAATAGATCAACTTGTCAATTTACGGGCTTGTGGAGATTGTAGTATTTTCAAAGTTGAATTCACGAGTCAATCTATGATAGACCATCATTGAAAACGTGAAAGCACTGAACGGCCGTTTCGTCCTGGTATGAAACTCCTTAGCAGTGCGCATCCTCGATCCTACATTCGGGACTCAAGTCCGTCCTGTGCTTGCAGGTTTTCGATGTTGGTCTTGTTGAGATTAACTCGTGACTTCAAATTTAAAAAGATCGATTTGTCACAACGTTTGTGCGCGTGACACCTATCACAGAATTATCATTAGCAATTTTAACATACTAATGCCTAAATATGATAACTGTTGAGATCTGATTTATTTTGTTACCATTTCCTTCTGTATTATTTCAATATTCTTCATTTAGACTGAGCATATACAAACATGCTTTTATTAGATTATGGCACTAATAACTGTCAACGTTTGTATGTCGTTTAAGACCGTAAACAAATACTTCTTACTTTACTATTTGCTATCAAAACACTGGTACCTAATGGATTCAAATGAATCTAGACATTAATTAATCACACGTATGGTTAATCTAGTTTATTTATTACCTCATAATTCATTCAATACTTGATGGTGTCATGAATGTACACTCTTAATTAGTCCCATAATAAAACGATCATTCAGTGTTTTATAGTTTATAATAATTGCCTAATTAAGATAAGTTCGTTATGTAAAGTGACATGATTCTACTTTTATTCATTATCCTATTCGCTTCAGGTCTGTGCGAATCCTTTAACATTCTTCACAATTAACATGTAAACCGTATCATAAATTCCATTCTCTTTATGTTTTCTAGGTTACTCTTTCAGGTTATTTCACATATGAATCATATTATTACTAACATTGATATATTCAGGTATTCACAGTACTAGTCTGGACAGTACAATTTATTTATTCAATTAAGATTTTTAGAATTTGACCAGATTGCATGCAATAATAAGAAATTTATATTATTTTACTATAACCATAATTTGTGTTTAATTTAGCGTCTTAAGAGGTATTCATTAAATGAGAAAAAAAGAATCAAAAACATGGTTAATTTTGAAGCTTGATTGATTTGTTATGTCAGTTTCATTGTTTATTGTTTTTCTCAAGTTTCTTTTCTGTTTTTCAGATTGCTATGTACATCGCAAACCAACTTTGTCAACCGGAATTGGAAACGCATTTACGTGTGTATATTTCCTATCTATGGGTTAGTCGTTTGTGTATACACACAGCAAAAGTGAGTTACCATTTTATTTGAGAATATAATTTATAGTAGGCTGTATGTTCATATTTATTCTAGATAAAAGCCTAACTGTTTGTTGAATCGTAATATGTTAGTTAGTCATCATCAACCTAGAACTCGGAAAAGATGTTTTTCGTCCACGTTGTTAAAACACATTAGCATAATGACAGGAAATCAAGAGAATGAATTGCAAAAGAGTTCTAAATATCATAATAGCAATGATAATCAGACCGACTGAACATTTTGAAAAGACAGAATGGAAAGGTATGAAAGAAGGAATATTGTTATTCCAATTCAACAGGAAGATAATTTGTATTTACATCTAGGACACAGTGAATAATTCCAAGCCATTTCAATTGAAGTTATTCTGCAAATCGCAATTAAATGTGACCTTAAAGCTGAGTGCATGGAAATCTATTTTGGTTTCTATTTCGTAATTCAATTAGTATTTGGTTAGGTACAATTATGTTTTCGGAAATTTATGGTTAATTCAAGAAGATTAGAAAATGCAATTTACATTTTCATGTATACTATGGTAAATCAACAAGATGAAGGCATATAATGGGTTACAAAAATGAATTATTGAGGTACACAAATTATTAAAACGAAAATATTGAATAACTTGTCAAAATTCGTTTTGTAATGAAAGAGTACTTTGTATAATTGAAATCAATACAAGACTTTTCCATAAATGATAACTACCTATTGATCAAAAAAGGGATTTATTATTGATTAATATGAGTAACTTATAACGATATAAGTTCAAATGAAACCTTGTTGAAGCCTTAGTTGGACATTTAGTAATATTTTAATTATAGGTGGAAATAACGAATATATTTTTCAGAAGGGGTTTTGTGGAGATTTAGTATTTTAGAGACTGGTAGGTCCTAAGTTCGAATCTCGCGATTGCGGGATCGTGGATGCGCACTGCTGAGGAGTCCCATAATAGGAAGAAACGGCCGTCCAGTGCTTCCAGGTTTTCCATGGTGGTCTAGCTTCAATTGACTCATGCTTTCAACGATTATATTTTTGCCTCATTTCTCAGTTTTTTTTAAGTCTACAAGATTCAGATTCAAGATTTTGTTTTTACTGACACTTGGTTCATTTGGTCATAATTTTAAATGAAGTATTCACCATATTTGACAAGTAGTATATCAAATTAAAATTTTAATAACATTTTCTGATTCTTATTTGATATCTTTAACATAAGAATAATTGGTTTTTTCTCAAATAAAAATGAAAATTAAATCACAGAAACAAAACAATCCACAAAAGTTTTACACTTAAGTGAAAGAAAACTCTTTATTTCATTAATCTGACTTCTATTGACTTTTATCATTTTCATCAAAATTCCCATATAGTACCTTGAAATATCTATCGTTAGTAAACCATAAATGTATTTGATTTTTGTTTAAAATCATAACATATGTTACATTATGTCATTATTAAGAACTCTTTTTCAATCTTATCAAATTTGTATCGAAAACCTTTGAATGTTACTGTTACAAATTCTCTTTCTCTATGTTTTTTTATGTGTATGTATGTTTGTTCATGCTTTATTATCATTTATTCATATAATTAGTCTTGTTCACTAAATGTCTTTTGTTTTTATCATCTCAATGAACTTAACCTGTGCCATTTCTATTCACCTCTTATTGTTATTTATCTTGTAACTCTTGGTTAAATAACTCTATCTTTTTTCGTTCCTCATTTTACTTTTTAATATATAAAGAAGTGTAGAAATATCAGAATAAAGTGTGCAACTAAGTGAATTTTAGTTGTCATTAGAGATATTGTTAAAAAGTATTGTATATCTTTTAAAGTGAATAAAGAATCGTAAATTTTACTCTACTAATGTGGATAGAATTCACTATGATAGTGATGATGGTGATAACGATGGTGGTAATAATGACGTCGTTATTGACACTAATTTTCTTATGGAGTTTTTTTATTTCTAATTCGCTAAAATATTTTTTTAAAGTATACACGTATAAATAGACGTTAGCAATCTATTTCAAAATATAACTTGTTTTTTTTTCCTCCAGTCTAAGTTAGGCATTCAAATGAGTTTGTTATGATGGACAAACTACAGCATTTTTCTATCCAAATTGTTGGGTTGTATTTCTATTTTTAAATAGTATTCCACTTCACTATTGATACTGATCATCAAAAGTAGGATTGCTTTTGCTTTTGCCAATATTCATAAACGAGACAAATTTAATACGTATAGTCCAGTTTATGTAAATCCTTAAATTTTAATCAAATTTGTACACGATTCTTTAATTATGACTTAGATTAGATACATCTTATTTTTCAAGATTAATGATGGCGTAGAACGACATAGTAATACTGTTTATCTAATTTGTGTAGAAGTATATTTTATCAGTATGTGGATTTATGGAGGTTGTAGTATTTTTTCAGTTGAATTCGCGAGTCACCCTAAATTAGAACACCATTGAAAACCAGGAATTACTGGACAGCCTTTTCGTTCTAGGTTAACTTGTAAATTCAGCTATTAAAATACTACAATCTCCACGAATCCTTATATTGATGATAATCATATGCTTACTAGTGAGTAGCTTCAACATGAATTTCCTGGAGCTATAGTGAGAAGTCGTGACAAATGGAGTCCAATCCGTGTCAGGTGGAGACATTTATCCACTTCAGACAATGCACAGAGGGTTACAGAAAATCATGGATCGATTGACTTTTATAAATTAACACCTTTAGGTGGTGGCTCAGTGGTCTAGAGGTTAAGCGTTCGCGCGCGAGACCGAGGGTCCTGGGTTCGAGTAGTGCGTGGGGATCGTGAATGTGCACTGCTGGAGAGTCTCGTACTAGGAAGAAACGACCTCCTAGTGCTTCCGAGTTTAAGTGGTGATCTAGCTTAGATCGGCTCATGAGTTCAAATGTGAAAGCATATTTAATACATTTATAAGATAGACTATTACTATAAGGCCAGTTCTTGACGTTATCTAATTAGACTGGTCATTTACTAATATGAATGCCAAACGTTTTGTTGTCTAGTATCCACTTCTTTTGAGAGTTTCATGAACAGGATAATTTAATGAATTTAACTTCACTTTATCCAGCTTATTAGTAGAATCTGTTATTACATAGGTATTCACGTAGTCAGTGTCATTGGGGAAAAATATCTACAAAGTACTCTTATTAGCTAAAACAATAATACAAAATCTATTTTCTTCAGACCATGAGCTCTCATCTTTCATATTTTAACAACTTATTCAGTTAGAATACTCATCAGTGTATTTTAGAAACAACTAATGTGGTCCCAACTAGCTGAAGATCTTCATAATGATAAGATGGTCATCTTTTTATCATAAAATATTATGTAGGGCGTGAATAAAAATTACATGCTGTAATTAAACATGAAACTATTGATATGTATCGTACGTCTCTTCACATTAATCACATACATACAATGTTTATCGTCTATTTTACGAGAAGTTAAAATGTCTTTTTACAACAAAATGTTTAGGTAAGAAACGGAACTACTGAATATGTTTTAAGTAGCCAACCTTAGATATGGATAAATCATGTAAATATTTTGTTAAAGGTTTTTCATGTGACAAAAAAAATATTTTGACAGTTAAATGAATAAGGTAAAAATCTCTGTGTGTTTTTAAAAAAAATAATTAGACTAATTATATTTGCTGTGTATAGAATTTAAAATCTGGGATTACATACAAAATCAACATTAATTGAACAGTATCCAATTTTAGAACTGTGGTCCATTGAGGAGCAAATTAAAAAAATTCACTAACTGACCCATGCTAAGACAAAAATCAAACAGTGTACAGTTTCCGTAAAGCTATTGTGTTTAAAATTGAAGTTCAGTCGTACCGTCGTTGATGGAATAGTAACATACTGTATACTAGAAGCTCTGAAGCAGATGTTTAGTGCATTTATTAGGTATATCTTGTTTTTCAACGGTTTCATCTTGATAGCTAAAAATAAAGCAAGATTATCTTAAATCATATCCTTCATGTAACATAGTCATCTTGTATACATATACTTTTAAAATTCATGACAATAGTATACTATTAGTATTTCAAAATTTATAATTATGATCTAAATATTATTTCTAAACTATTAGAAGTGGATAGGTTTTTGCTGTATAACGCTTGTAAACAATAGTTATTATCGAAAAAGTGCTGCATATTAACAATATATTAATTTCTCAAGAGTTATTGACAGAAATATCGAAATAAAAGAGAACGTATTATTAAAGTTGATGAAATCGAAATGTTTAGGAGAAATATCATTGAATTATGTGAAAATAGTTTAATTGCATTTTTTAAAAGAAATAATCATATTGTAAGCAAAGATGAATAGTGGCTATCAGTGGAATCGAGGACGCGCGTTTTGTCCTATTTGGGTCTCGTCAACTGGATGTACCTGCATCCCAGAGTTGATGTTCACTCTGGGACTCGAACCCAGTATCGTTCGCTTCAAACGCTATCGCGTTATCCACTCACCTATTGTGTCCTGATAGCCATTTGCTTGTGCGATGGTGTGAAGTTTAAATTCACTTAGTATTGTTTGTTTGAATCTTCCCAACTGGTCAGTCTCTAATTGGCATATGTGCATACTGTGCGTGCTGCCTCGATATAGCTTTAATTCACTAGCATTGTAAGCAAAGATGAAGACTGACCAGCTGTAGTCTTAAACATCAATGGGAAGATTTAAACAAGCAATACTAAGTGAATAATCATTATTGTTTGTTTATTTTACTCAAATAAATAGTTTAGGGTGAAGTATAACTTTTTTGATTCCTAAATTATTTTAAATCAATTTGTATATAGAGATGTTTCCAGTTTTATGAGTTTCAGTTTTGAATTAAAACATATAATTCACTTTACTTAATTTTAAATTTTAACTGAGTTGCTCGGACTAGTCTTACCACTTGTTTATCATAAAAGTGGCAAAAGTAGGATTCAAAATTTTATTGTATTGATTGAAAGTTATGTTCTTTCCCTAATAACCCACCTCTTCGTAGTCAATCGAAGCAGAATATTTAAATTTATGCTCTAATACATCTTGTGTAGACACATATTTAACTAGTTACTACAGTGGGTTTGTGAAGGTTATTCAATTTTATGGTTTATATCATTAGCTGATCTTATTTAGACAACCAGAAAATTCTGTGCGGCACGTTCATCCTATAATGTTTTTTAGTTGGCCCTTAAGTAAGATCAGTCAGTTATGTAAACCATGAAATTCAGTAATCTCCACAAATCCTCTGTTATGAGCAGTGATCATGTGTTCACTTGTGACTAGTTTTGCAAGATAATTCCCAGAGTTTTAATGGGAAGCAGTGACCGAATTAGATCGACCATAAAAATTGATAAACTTATTGATAATTATACTCAATAACCAAATTTATATGGTCAATTCATTGTAAGCCGACAAATATTAGATAGTTTGCTGACTTACATGAAAATCTGTTTTCTGTAAATTGATGGTCACAATGTAAGATACTTAATTTAGTGTAGGTATGAATACAGTTTATAGTCATTTATAATCGTCTGAGATTATATCAATAATCTTGTAATATTTTATTGAATATGCTTAAACATTGTATAACTCATTATCCAGTCTCCCTGTTATATCGATGGAATACTCTTTTTGTTAACTCTTATTTATGAACACTCCCATGATATGCTACTTGTTAGTAAATATTCAACACAATACGTTTATTACACATCATTCCCTTTTTTTATCTTGAAATAAACGAAAACAAAAATCGGTGCAGATCAATATAAATTCATTTTATTTCGTTAGGTTCTCATCAGCTACTTCCATCCTACAATATTTTAAAACCAAAGTTATTATAGACATTGACATACGAGGATGATCAGAGATGAATATGTGTATCACGATGTAGCAAAGATTCTGATAGAGTTAATAAGATTATATAAATTTTTGTTTCAGATAAATAATTAAATTGTGAAGGGGGGGGGGTTCCAGAACATCGAACTAGTTATTAGAAATTAAAGAGTTTACAAACATTCGATGATTGTGTAATGAAGTAACCGGAAACAGATTAATGGTAACACTGAAATATGTGAGTTGAAATCAATCAACGACAATGATATAATCAATGCTTCGGAAATAGTTGAAATAACTCTATTAGAATCTTCGCTATATCATGATATACATATTCATCTTTAATCACCTTTGTATTTATAAGTATGTCAATATCTGCAATACCTTTGATTTTGAAGTATTATAAGTTGTAAAAAACCGATGAGAACCTAACGATATGAAATAAAATGGATTCATATTATTTTGCACGAATTTTCGATTTTGATCTCTTTAAAACAATAAATGTGTGTTAAAATAAATTCTTTTTTTGTATTGTAGGTTTTTTATGATTGTGTACAGGCTGATACTTTATTTGCTCACTATTGTATGAAAAAGTTTCCGGTATATTTGGAAGCCTTGCTAGACTTGTTACGAGGAAGTGTGAGTAATCATTATTAATGTAATTGTTCCATTCATTCATTAATTACAAAAGTAGTTATGTTTAGTCGTGATAAAAGATTAGAGAAAATCAATTTTGTAGGTCATGTACTTGTTAAATAATTTAGACCTGGATGTTAGACTTAATTCCTGATTGTCATTTTGATTTCATCCATAGTTTTCCTTATTAACAGCTAAAATCAATGTCGTGGATTATTTGAACTCGGACACTAACACTTTCAGGTAGCATCTCAGTCAGTCAGTGAATTTGAACATTTGTCAAATAGGTAAGGAATGTTCTTCTAAAAGATGATTGAATGGAATGTCTTTGGCTCTTTCTGAGCTTCTTAGAACTTCCTTGAGTTTATCCAAGGGCTGTCCTCACAATTATGCTTGTCTAGTCTAAGTTACTGGACTTGAATGCATAGACCAAGTAACTGTTGGTAACACTTGTCATAATTCATATCAAAACTTGGAAAGGGAATCAAATTGTATGTAAGAGGATTAGTAAAGCTGGTATCATTAATACAAGCGTTAGCAGGGAGCTTAAAATGTCTACAAGAATAAGAACAGTGTATGGAATATATGGTAAAGTTATTTTTCATGTTTCTGATGAAGACCATAGAATAAGAAATGTTTACCACTATAAATAATTTTGAGGGCTGTAACTCCACAGTCTTAGACTACTTATTACTACAACCTTAATTGCCCCAATGAGAAAGCCAGCTCTATTGTGATTAACGAGTAATACATCTTGGTTTGAGGACTTAAAGTTTTACTTCATCATTATTTGCTAAAGTGATCATTCTAACCAGTCATTCCACAAAGAAATTTATATTTTAATCTTTAGAGATGAATCAATAGTAAGAATGGTTATAAAGAGGTCATTAAAAATCTTAATTTGCTCTCGAATTTGTAAAAAACGATCTATGGTAATAGCATCGTTTTTTTCTTGTGTTCTAGATTTTTAGAATTCTTTGTTATCATCACATGTTTATCTTTTGGTAGTATTAAATATTTTTGTAATGTACTGTAAATTGATATAATTTTTCTTATTTCAATAATAATATTTTTAAATTTGTATTGTTGAAATTTAATTTACAGGTTTCAGTGTCAAAATCTGATCGTGTAACTTTAGTTGAATTGGTGATGCATTCATTAACTGCATTTATTATTCAATTGGGTCATGTACCAGAAATGTAAGTTTATGTATCCATCTTTATTTTTAGTAGAAGCTTTAAATATTCGGTTAGTATTATCTCAAGAACCAGTTAATACTAGGAGTATTGGTTTCTTTTTAACGTTCATGTGTTATTTTTCCGTTAAAATATTTTATACTTGAAAAAGCTATCTATTATCATCTTCGCCAAAATGATTTCTGTCATGACATGAAATCGTGCTAAAGATTAGTAAAAATTGATTGTACCAACTAGATAGTTGTTTCGGTCTAGTTGGACACTCTTTAGTCGTGTTCATTCATTATTCCGCTTAGAATTTAGCTCATGAACTTAAGATCTTGTCAGTAGTATGATACTAAAATTTTACTGAGTTAGAAATAGGTTGTTTGCATTTTATTAACAACTCACCACCTATTACTTAACGCTTTATTTATTTTATATTGTGCAATTATTCTACCGTTCAAATTGTGATTAGAATAACTCTACGCATCATATTTTCTCACTCAACCTTAGACAACTCTATCTGGACGTTGATCCACTGTTGATCAGTTGGGTATTATTTTCTTTAGCTAGTTCCTGACCATTCATACGATTAAAGATAACTTTCCACATAGTAAAATTGGTTTGGATATGTTAATATTATGATTCTCATTCATAAAATCTGTAACCTTAACAATGATAACGTTTATGAATACATAGTATGGAAGTTGCACCGGGATATTTTCTTAGATACTTAACATGATTAGTTTGCTTCTAGACAGCATATGTTCTGGGAAAATAACTGAGTGTTTTTGACATTTGAATCTATTTGAAAAAAAGCAATGACAATTTTTTTTACCAAGTGGCCTTCATATGAAATGTTACTGTATTGATATGTATGAAGTTTGTAATAGAATACAACCCATGAATATTTGTGGTCGTAAAATAGCATTATATATATATGATGAATATTTTCTTTAGAAAAACAGTTTAACCTTTTAATCCAATAAGTTGCGTTTGGTAATTAGTTCAGGTACTAATAACATTATATTTCGCGTAGTTTTACCGTTGGTTAGTCTGTTGTTCGTTTAACTGTTGATAATCTGCAAATCTTCCAGTTAATAAATGCAACGTGATCATTTCTAACGGTCTAAGGGTTAAGACGTGAATGTAGATATCTAATTAGTGAGATGATCTTAATAAGATTTGTAGTGGGAAATAACTTACCAATTTGTTTCAATCTATATTTCTAAAGATTCATTTGACCAATAAGTTTGAAAATAGAATGCAATATTGCATGTACGTTCTAGAAGGTGTTACCATTTTTGCTTATTTCATATAGAGCAGTAACTAGACTACATCTTTGAGGAGCTTTAAATGAGATCATACTGTCCAGAAACTATGATCCATGTTTATATATATATATATATATATATATATATATATATATATATATATACGTTTCATTATTATGACAAACAGGTCACTACTATGAATTGGATATTTTTTCTGAATTCTGTATTGACTCAGTTGTAAAAATTGATACACATTATTTGAAATAATGATCAGCTATTTAAAAATAAAATGTATTTTCATTTATTGAAAACCAGTTATATAATCTCTCTTCAGTTTACCTCGGTACCCATGAGTATCTTCATGCACTAAGGTCTGAATAACAATATTTGCTTCAAGGTTAGTAGTAATAATCCACTTTCAAACACGTAAATCACTGCTTGAAATTACATCATATCTATATTCATCAAAACATTAACTAATTCAGTTAACTCAGTAATATTACTTGCTCTCTTCTTTAGAATATTACAGAACAAAGCACAATTTTGTAAAATGCTTGTTGAATCACATGTTCCAAGTCATGCAGTAAGTCTACTATATAGTCATTAAAATTTATGCTAATTTGTTCATTTAGAAGTTGGTTTTATTCATAGTCTATCTTCTCGTCTTAGAGTATTGTATAAACTAGAAAATAGTAATTTGATGAATAGTTAAAACTGTTAATACGATAAAGTTATGATATAAAAAATAACAATATTAATCATAGTAACACTAACTAACCATTCAACGCTGAATTTTACCAACCGTTTAAACAGTTAACTTAAGCATTGGTTTGACTTCATACATAACTAATGAAACTAGGTATTTCGAAATAAAATATTTCTTGTTTAGGAAAAAAGAAACGTTTTAAATATCTCTAATATATTTTTCGAGTTATATTTTAAATTTGATTATTGTTCTGTATCTTCTTGCTCGTATTTCTTCATCATCTACTGGTGTAATGCTATTCTATACTACTTGTAACGTTAAAAGTTTGTCAATATGGTCAGTGACAAATTTTTCCTAGTCTTTTTTTAACATTACATTATATTTAATATTACTTATCTTTCTTCACTTCTCATCAACGTAATTCACTTCAGTGTTCTAACAAGAATGTTTAAGAATTTAGATGGATTAATATCCCTTGAAGGTTATGAGTCACGGCTGATAACTGACCAACTGTTATCAAGTTGCATATCGAAGTAAATTATACACTTGAAAAGTGTGAATCGTATCCGATGCAAATATTTAACGAATGAATTGAAATAATAACTTACATAATACATTATTTTGAAGGGTTGTTTGAATTCTCATCTTTTTGTAACTAAATACTGAACAAATATATTATTCAGTCCAATAAATACACTAACAGCGATCATCAAAACTGATTTTAAAAATTCACCAATTAGCTTCTTTAGTGTTTTCTCCATTTGTCCCAATATTTTTATCATATATAATTTTGAACAGTTTAAGCTATCGTTATTTCATAGAACAATGATAAGATAAAGTTAATCTAAAAAATGTGATGTATATTAGTGCTTTACATTTTAAACAATCTGATCACATATATAAGGCATAATAAATCAAAGTCAATTAAATGAAAATTCAAGTGAAAAAAGTGCTTTTACATTTTTGTATTGGTTGCTTTGGTCCTTCCATTGATCTTTAAGACTGCAATTGATCAGTCTCTTATTAGCCTCACTTCATAGCACAAGCCAGTGTCTATGTGGAACCAGTAGCTGGGCGGATAATACGATAGCGTTTGAAGCGAGTAGTACTGAGTTCGAGTCCTGGAGTGAGCATCAATTCTGGGATGGAAGCACATCTGGCTGACGAGTTCCAAACAGAACGAAACGCACATTCTGAATTCCAATGTTAGCCACTATCTATCTCTGCTTACAGAGTAATAATTGTTAATAAAAGAGAGAGAAAATTAATATAGTATAGAAGAAATACGTAACTTTTACATTAACTCAGGTCATAAAGTGACTTTAAGACTACCAGGGCAAATTCAAAGATTTGACAAATTGTTTCTATACACATAATGGGAGGAGTTTGAATTTGTGAACAACCAAGGCTTCTGTAAACCTAAAAATTCGTCGTTCTAAAAGCTTCGTTGATGTCTATTCTAAGCCTTATTCCATTTATGTGCTTTACATATCGATTAACACGATTTAGTACTTCCCTTGTTTATCGGAGCATTATAAAATACCATGACACATTTTTAGAATAACCAAGTCTTCTCATTATTCTATCTAAATTTATAAAAAAGACTAATTGCTGTAATAATTGTACATTTTCATCATATACATGAATTTACTCACGCTTAATTCACTTTTGAAATAGGCTGCTTCAGCTCTACTTTTATCTCAAATCTATGAGCTACAAGAGTATACTATTCCAGCTAAACCAAATGATATAGTTCAAGCAATGTCATTAATTCTGGTTTCTCCAATAGCTCAAAGTCAAACTGCACGTAGTCGATTACTAGCTGCTTTAAACGAATCTACAAGAGGTGCAATCAATTTAAAAGAAAATATAAATGATTCACATAGTGAAATAGATTTATCAATGACTTTCGGTTTACCACAAATTTTATGGCCAGGTAATCATGGTTGGCTTGATGGTTTATTTAATTTAGCTCAAATTATCTGTACACAGGTTAGCTAATTCTCTCATATAATTTAGTGAATAATTCCTATATTTCGTTCTGTTTAATATTTGTTTTACTTTTAAATGTGATAATTTAATGTTTCTATAGATTTCTTAATTAAGTAAACTAGAATGAGGAATACAGTGTCAGGTGTAAACTATATGAACGACCTAAGAAATTCAAAATCACAGCTGGTATCTTTAATACGGTCGGATGACTCAAGGTCATCCACATAGTTTTATTCTACCTATACAATTTTACAGTACAGGCTTCGATAAATGTCTGAATCAGTGATTTCGATTCCGCTTTTCCAAGTAACCTCTATCTATATTTTGCTTATTGGTCATTGGAAATATTCAATTTCATATTGTTGAACCCTTACTGTTTATTGAATTCTACTGATCAAATTGATTGAATGAGGTGCAAATCGTTTAGTTTTTATTGTTCAATGCCTTTGCTGCAATACAATCTATTGTTACTAAAAGTTGTGGATGGTATGAAATTATTGCATCTATGAACGGTTTTTGTTCTGTCAATCGATGAGTAATTTTAATTTCTATCTATCATTTGTGATAACAGACTAAAGTAGAAGTCCAGTAACGCAATTATCCTCTTTATATATATATATATATATATATATATATATATAGAAGTATGCATTTTCATTTGTTAGATTATATTTTTATTGTATGAAGTCGAAGGCAATATTCTGATGATTACAAAAATAAGTGTGTAATTTCAAATATTATTTTGTTCAAATTATGTGTTCTAAAGTCTGACGGCTACGTTAATTGGCGTAATGTTACCTAAATAATAATTTTCTTCCATAACATCAGTTTCTCTTTAGGTAAAATATACATTCTTAACTGATGGTAGATTTTCAGTTTAAAGAGAGACCGTATGAAAGCATAGTTTTGATATTCCTTAAGAATAGGTTACAGATACTAAATAGTAATTGATATTTACCTACAAAAGTCATTGTACCACACAAAATTACAAATGTTCTGAGTTTCTCGATAAATACTAATTTCTGTGACTAATACAATGGAATGAAAGTATTCAAAGTACGGTGCAGGACAGTAGATCTCCGAAGTCTTATAAATGTTAGATTTAATGGAAACATTAAATCATTATTCTTCAATCTTGTATAAAGTATAAATTTTTATTCAATTGGTTGTGTGTAATATTACTTATTTGTGATATTTTAAAGGCAGGAAACACAATTTGGCAGTCATTTCTGGAATTTCGTATATCTGAAAGAATTTGGCAGTGTTTAGAACAAATATTTGATCTTCATAAATCAAGTAGTTCATCGTCAGATTCTGATCATGGTATTGATTTGGTCATGTTATCACCCAAAGGAATTTTATCAGCTTTGAATTTGGCTGCTACAATTTTCAGCAAGGTATAGTTTAGCTGATTAACCTTATAAAGGCTCTCTACTTAAACATAACTTGCGGAATTAGAGCTTTTATCGTACTATTATCAGGAATGATAACTTCAAGTTGCACTCGTCTACATTTTCCAATCCTACTAAGCTGTTTCGTTGACATTATTTTAGAGATAATGATCTGGTCATTCAAATTCACAAGAACTAAACTCCTATAAGAAAAATGCACTTGTAGACTTAGAATACAAAGATGGTGTAGTAATTTTGATGAATGCACTGATAAATCCAGAGTTCTCTAATCATCTTGAGCAACAATGAAATGATGATTTAATGTTTCTCTTTCTCTAAGTAGAAAATGTTTCCTTAAGAGTAGTGCTCACCGACGCCTGAACTAGTTATAGAGAGCAATGTTGAGAACATCGACCATTTTACTCATTTTAAAAGTTGTATCAGTCATGGTGGGTTATTGTCTCACAAAATGTTGTCACGAATGCAGAAAACCTGGTAAGCTTTTGTTAACTCGCGTTATCTCACTACACGATGCTTTATGGTATAGAAATTAGTCGAAACATAAGTAGAATAAGAGAAACCGAGATGTGACATCAGCTTAATAAAGTCATTGATTGTTGAACTGTACCATGTTTAGATCCACACGATTATTGTAATTAATGATTAGAAACGTCTGGTGATGCGATCTAGATGTACCGTACATGTTTATGTAGAATAATTAATTGCACGTATCAGTCTGTTTTAGCATTTCTTTTTATAATTCAATACCTACTGTGTTTAATTCACTATTTTGAATGATGATAATTCAAGTTTAGATAAATTGTTATTCTCCTACTTCCTTTAAAATCAGTTTCATATTCATATATGATAAATAACTTGATCTTCTTCTTTATAGATCTCCATGAGTGTACATATATGTGCTTGTATATGTCACTTAGATTCGTGTCAATAACAAGTTATTGCTATTATTATTATTTTCCTTAGGAAAAATATTAAACGAATAACATTTTATCCCTGTGGTATAGAGATCTATAATAAATAAATTTGTTGGATTAATTAACTATTTTTTCCTTTAGGACATTGAATCATGTATTTTCCTTCTTTTCTTTTGTCTTTAATAAAATAAAGAGAAGTGTTATCCATTCTTCTGTATATCATGATTGATGTAATGTTCGATGACGACGTCATTAGTAGAAAAAATAAATATGATTGTCGTCTTATCTTTCTTATACTTATGTGTTTCAATGAATCTTTTCGGCATAATTAATAAAATGATCAGATAACGTTTGTTTTCTAAATAATGGGATACTGTATGTATTCAAGTATGTATATTTGTCGCTAGGTATGGATAAATTATATGATGTATCGAAAAGATCTATGTTCTAATACAAGTGGATACATATACATAAATATGCTTATAAGATTGAATATCACAGCTTAGATATTGAATTAGATGACGTCATAAGCTATTATTATGTTGTATTGTCTACTTAAATCTTTTTCTATCCATTGAGAATTTAGCTTATTTTAATGACTAACCACTTCTTAATTGATATTTTTCTGATGGAGATCATGAATCGATCAATGTTAGACTACCGTTGAAAACCTTGAAGCACTGGACAGTCGTTTCTTTCTAGTATCGGACTTTTTAGCTGTTCTCATTCGCGATCTCACGCGTGTGATTTGAACCCCCAAAACTTTCGGTCTCGCGCGTGAACGTTTAACCTCTAGACAAGTGGGCCGGAATCCAACGGTAGTAATGTCTGACTTCAACCGCCCCCAAATGCCCTGGTACGGCTGAGAGTGGGGACAGTCCGCTCTCTCTCGAAATGCTCTCACATGGCCACGCGTATATAGCCTCTGCCAGGGAAGTCCTAGTCACTGCCTTCTCGTGGCGGGGGTGTTGTTTACGAAATTGCGAGGACGAAAAGCGAATGCTTTATCCGGGTTGGTGGACACGGAAAGTTCACCTAGGGGAGCTGGAAAACCCTGATTCCAAACCAATGGTGCACATGGACTCCAGTATCCTGAGGGAACAAATGGCGTATGAACCTATTGTTGGTCACCGGCTACCATGGGACTGCATCTCCTTACGATGCTCCACTGCCTTGTGGACTAGACCTTCGGGGTGTGGTCCCCTTAGAAAACCACCCGCTTCAGTCTGGACACCTGGGCAGTATCACAGCCCTCACACAAATCGAATGAGATTTGTGAGGCGCATATATATCTGGTGCTTCCTTGTACCAATATTTATGTTTAAATAAATAAAAATTAACTTCAACCCATCCACGAAATTGAAGGTCCTGGGTTCCAGCCCCGCGTGTGGGATCATGGATACGTACTATTGAAGAGTCCCATACTAGGACGAAACGGCTGTCCAGGTTTTCAATGGTGGTCTAACATTGACCTATTCATGATCTCAATCAAAAACTCAACAATCTCCGTAACTCCATACTGATTACCTATTTCTGTTTATATATTTCAATCTTCAAATATCAAAGCAACATTATCTATCAAAATGATTTTTTTGAAAAATATAATTATCAAACTGTCAGGATACAGATTACACACTTTTTGGATAACATTATATGGGGAATCGAATTTTACAAATTATGAAAGACTACTATTTCCATATAACCCGATATCATTTGATATTTTCGACAAACATATTGTGTATATATATTCGAGCCATTTTATTGTTGAATATCCGCTAACATTTAAATCAGGTCCAATTCTTGCTGTTCATTGGTCATTTAAAAATTATAATTCATCACTTCACTGTAGATTTTCTGTATTAACACTAATGCAGGTATGATGTAGGCTGCCGTAACAGTAGATTAGGAAACAACTAGTGATGGGAAGATTGTTACATTATGGTAATCTGTGAATTCATTGACTGTTGTTCGCAGCCATGTCAACATTTGCGTACTTTCTCTTTTGGTATCGTATTATAGTTTTAATTCATGGTTGAAGACTTCAAGTAACCTGACAAAAGTCCTTCATAGTGGGAGAGTTCCATTTATCCTCAATGTTCCTCTAATTTTTTAGTTAAACGACACTTAACTTTTTATACTTTTCTCTTATTTCTATATTTTAAACATGTGCATACATTCTTTGTTGTTTCCGCTTTCTTGCTTCCTCTCTTGTAAATTTTCGTAGCCACTCTGTTATGGGCTGATGTAATGTGTTTTGATAAACATTCATAATAGGTTCTAAGTTGGTCGAAATATCCTTCCACTCAAATTACAAGGACACGTGTGTGTTTAATCTACCTGTTTTTTCGAAAATCGGGAGCGACAAAAATCTGAAGACTAGTTTCGCTTCATTCTCAACTACAAATATAAATGCGTCTGGAACTAAATCTCTACATCTACTATTTCAATCCCTAAGGTGGGACTGTTACGGGAAGGCTGATTTTTGAAAGCCATTAAATGTTTGGTTGTCATATGCTGTTCTGAGTTTCGGTACTTTTTAAATGCCTATTTTACAGTATCTTTTAGTATAGACGTCGGTTTTTTTAATCGAAAACCTTGATTTTGCCTTTATCCAAATTGTGATTTCACCATATCATAAGTTTTATATATTGTTGTCATTTCTGTCACTATATTCATTTTACTATCACTAATGTGAATCACTACTATAGTTTCGACTTTTATTTGTTTACTTATATTCAGAAGCCAAAATTATGCATTGAAACGTTATTATGTAATCAAAGTCAGATGTTATCCGTACTGAAACATTTTTTTACAACAAAATGCATTGAAGAACTACGTCAAAGGTGAGTTTTTTCAATGTTTGGGATTCACTATAATTCATTTTTATTCAAAAGTGTATTGCTCACATTTTTAATTGTCGATGAATAAGTCATTTTCTGTCCATATTATATACTGAATATTGATAAATGTTTATGTTGGGCGGTTGTCGGAATATGATATACACATATATACTTCGTACGCGCTACCCCGATCAGGTACCTGAGTCAGAAAACCAGTAATGAGTAGGAAGCTTTCATTGACTAACCAAGATCAAGATACATGCATAAGCTCATCCGTTAATATGTTCTTCAGAATAATTATAGACGGTCACCTTAACGTTTATGTTAAACTTCAGAACCATGTAAAGAGTAATTCAATTTATTTCATTGAAATATTTTATAAGACTTTCTACTAGCTATTTGTTTTTTGCCTTCAATAGTTTTCATTTATGACAATTTGACATTTTAATAACTTCACGAGAGGCTCTGATTTCATACTTATTCACATTCATTGCTTTTTTTTGTATATATTAAGCAGTCCTTACACATGTTATTTAAGGCCTGAAAACGTATGATATTGTTCCTATGTAAATGATTAACGTGGTTTAATTTTGAGATCACTAATTTTTAACATTTTCGTTTCTCTCTCTTAATTTTAAAGGTTCAACAGCATAACAAAATGCGTTATAATCTCTTCTTGCTTTTTTTGGTATTCTAATCGTTATTATCTCGTTTCTTGCTAATTAACATAATTCAAATTTATACAGGATTAATAAATTCTATTTATTTCTTCTTGTCTCTTTGTCAAAGTAAAATGTATGTGCGAATGAGTTCATAGGGTCAAATAGTTTAATGCTTTCTTTTATTTTAATTAAATATATTTTTAAAGATTGTACATTACTAATTTTTAATTTTATTCCAGATTAGGGAAGAAAATCACTTTCTAATATATTTCATTTCATGTATCCACTTTCAAATTAAGAAATGATTGCTTACCAACCCGCATATGATTTTCTTTTCTTACTTACTTACGTCTGTTACCTCTGGTGGAGGAGCATAGGCCGCTCACCAGCATTCTCTATTCAACTATGTCCTGGGCAATCCTTTCTAGTTGTTATTCATCCTTTCCATATCTGCTTCTATTTCCCGGCGTAATGTGTTCTTTGACCTTCCTCATTTCCGCTTCCCTTCAGGATTCCAAGTTAGGGATTGCCTCGTGATGTATATATATAATTATTGAACTATGTACACATAAAATCAATGTATCATAACACGTCAATTCTTCATATGAAAATCATGTGTAAAAAAACAGATTTGAGATAAGTTGAATGAAGCAACAATAATCTGATAACTTATATTTGTTGATAGACCTAATATTATAAATTGAATTTACTTATTTACTTACGCCTGTTACTTCCAATGGAGCATAGGCCGCCGACCAGCATTCTCAACCCACTCTGTCCTGGGCCTTCCTTTCTAGTTCTATCCAATTTTTGTTCATTCTTCTCATATCTGTCTCCATTTCTCGGTGTAATGTGTTCTTTGGTCTTCCTCTTTTCCTTTGGCCTTCAGGATTCCATGTGAGGGCTTATCTTGTGACGCAGTTGGGTGCTTTTCTTAATGTGTGTCCTATTCACTTCCATTGCTTCTTCCTGAATTCTTCCTTCGATAGAATCTGGTTTGTTGTCTCCCACAGTAGTTTGTTGCTGTAAATTGAATTAGTGAGCATAAAATAAAGAAGTATTGAGTAAATATTTACTTTTTTCGCTAAGATTCTTTATGAACTTAATCAATGAAAAACAAATTACCGATTTAATTTTACTCGATTTAAGTAATTAGTTTTATATAAAACTGACTGAATAACTTCATGGACAAACTGAACAGATTGTCAGTACTTGATATGGTTTATGTTATTTCCAGTTAATGAATAATCAGGAGAATAAATTTTGTCAAAGATTATTCTTTGTATGTCGACTGTTTCTTTTTATGCATATAAAAATATTTCATTAGGTATGTGTACCGATTGTGTAATAATTTTTTGCATGAATAGATTTATGTACATATATCATATACTATTAGGACTACCGAAATTATAAATTGAAAATTGAATTGTATATGACCATGGAAATCGGCATAATATTGAAAATAAATAACAGTACATCGTTCGTAAATAACAGAGAATTTTTTAAATGGATTAATGTTTCTTATTAGAACATTGGAATAAGAGAATTTCATGTTAGAGTTGAATCGGTGTTATTTTTTGTCACTTAAATTTAATCAAGTAGAACTATATATCAGAAGGGGTTTTGTGGATATTACAGTAATTTTATTAGTCGAGATCATGAGTCAATTGAAGCTAAACCACCATGAAAAACCTGGAAGCACTGGACGGCTATTTAATCCTATTGTGGGACTCCTCAGCAGTGCGTATCCAATGACTAATGATCTCAACTATCAAAAATACTATAATATCTACAAAAATCCTTTCTGATATTAATCAACATATACTCACTAGTAATTGGCTTCAAGAGATATTTCCTAGAGTTGTGATGAGAAGCAGTAGAGTTCAACCGAGTCTGTTGTGTGATATCAACTCACTGACGACAATGGTGAATTTGTCGCCCAATTTAGTTGAGTAGTTGGATGCCGACTCAGTGGTCTAAAGTTTAAGTGTTCGCACGCTAGACCGATAGGTCCTGAATTCGAATCTCGCGAGGCGGGATCGTAGATGCGTACTGCAGTGGTGTCCCACAATAGGTCGAAACAGCTGTCCAATGCTTCCAGATTTTCCATGGTGATCTAGCTTCAATTGACTCATGATCTCGACCATTAAAAAAAGAACTATACATGTTCTAAAGTTCATATCACTTATTCATTTTTTGGGCAGAACTATCGTGTAACTGTATTGTACTTACTTCCGCCTATTACCCCTCTTGGGGGAGCATAGGCCTCCCACAAGCGTTCTTCATTGAACTCTATCCTCGATAATCCTTTCCATTACTTTTCAGTCGCTGTTCATACTTTTTATGTTTGCTTTAAATCCTCGACGCAGTATGTTCTTTGGCCTTTATCTTTTTCGCTTCCCTTCAGGATTCCAAGTTAGGGCTTGGTTCGTGATGCAATTTGATGATTTCCGTAATGTATGTCCTATCCACTTCCATCGTCTTTTCCTAATTACCTCTTTGGTTGGAAGCTGGTTTGTTCTCTTCCGTAGTGGACTGTAACTACACTGCACTCCAATCATTTATTTTTTATAAAGTGATACCTGCTAGAGAAATGTTAAAATCCATGGGACTCTGAACAGGTGTTGGATCATAGTTTGTAACTGACTGAATATAGAAATGTGATCTATCTCATTTAGTTCAGTGTTTTTAAATAGTGTTGTATCTGTTACGATGCATGAACGTTTTCCATGTGAATTTATGTGTTCAGTGAACCATTATTATTTACAGGATACGCAAAATACTGGAAAGAAATGACTTTTCACTGGTTATTGGTTTTTGCCAGTTTCATGATGTTTTGTACTGTCAGTAGAATAATCTAACTGCTAAGTCTTCATCGTCTTTCTCGGCAAAATCATTAAAACACAAATAATAGATAAGTGCAAATTCGTTCCGATCAACTAGTAGCTTGTTCTGATATAAAATCTCATCAGTTATTGCCTATAGGTTTATGCCTGTGATTTGCAAGTTTGTTTAAATTGTTTTCATGTGTAGCCTGATCTCTGACCTTGGGATTATTTATCATCTTTCTCACTGCTTAATAGATTGAATTGTTTCCGACATATCTATTGATTTATGTGTGATCAAAGTCTTGGGAACCCGAAAATTCTTGGCTTTTCTTTATGATTTCTCCTTCTAATGTTTAGACGTTTTCGCGATCGAACTTATCTCCGTGGTTGTTCTCAAACATTGATGTAAGTGAAGTTATGTCATGGCACTTAACCACGAACTGGTGTTCACGTAAACACAGCTGGTATCTACTTTATCATACGTAATGCTTCTCATAATTACTGCAATTTATCTCGTGAATAACTTTCAGTTGCTTTCTATTTGTGGTTATTTCCTTTGGCTTGAACACTATTGATTGCAAAGATTTTATAAGTTTGTGATCTACACATATTCTTAGTAGCTACTGAGGTGAAACATCTTCAAATTTTTGAGTTTAAGCTAAAAATATTTTCCAGTCTTTCATCTTTTTAACAATGATTACTTATTTGTGATAAAATCTTACCAATTATACAAAGACATTTTGTTTTAATCCCGTCATTAGTTTTATTTCAACTACTTTACAAAAAAAAGACGTCGATTTACAGATTTGATAAGTTTTACAACTTAATTGCCTAGTGGAGTAACTAAAATGCTTTTTTTCCAAAAAAAATTAAAACAGACAAACCCCTATGTTTTCGGTACTTTGAATTGTTTCCCTATAGAGTTTTTTTGTTTATTAAGTATTTTTTTCTCCAACCTATTTTTTTCTTTCTATGGAGATAATTAAAATAAATTAATCGAAACCTTTATATTATCTTTCTGTGTTTTATAAAATTCAAAGCATTTAGTTTTGTTTAGGAAAAAAACAATATGGAAAATAAAAGGAAAAGATTATGAATGCAATAAAAATTTAATCATACTGACCTACTATTCATATTCAGTAGTATCTTTTTTCCGAAAGAAAATCTATATTAAAAAAATTGAAATTATAACTATAATGGTCGTTTTTCTTTATTCATATTGGTATTAAAGGCTTACTACTGGCTAAGATTTTGAAAACCGTGCTAATGAGCCAATTTTTTTGTTTTTACCCATTATGGCTTCTTTTTGTTTGCATTAATGTACATGTGGATAATAAAAATGGAAATTAAAATTTTTTTAGGTAGCTTAAAATGAATTATGCATAAATAATTTCAAGTTATTCATATAGAATCAAAATTTCTTTTTAGAATAGAGTTTAACACAAATTATAGTAATGTGAATTCTAGATTTAAAAGTAGCTGTATGTAAGAAGAACTCATGTCGTAGATATTCTAAGTTTCATTTCCTAATGCTTCAGTTGAAAATACTACATTTTTAGATGTTTAAACATTAAAGATATTTCTTTGTACTCTTAGGTAGTATTCTGTATAGATTAACATCATTTAGGGTACTTTTCAAAACCAAGCGAAACTGGAGATGTGTTCGATTTAATATGAGACACCTTACTTTTGTCATCAATGACACTAAATATTTGTCGGTGTGTGTCATACATTGATAGGAGTTGGGTACGTTATAAGTTCAGTCTTAATGTTTCAAGTGTTTTAAAAAACCATCATTAAAGCTAAATATCTCGAAGTAAATCCCATTCAACTGTAATATCACGGTTACTGAACTAGTTTTAATGTAAATGCAAATTTTTTTAAATAGACAAAATCAACAAATTTCATATCTCATCAACCGATTGATCTTATCGTTATTCATGCATATGAGGATACATAAATAGGAATGAGTAATCGTTGTGACACATAAATTTAGGGTAGAAACAGAGAAATTTTGATTATTTTGTAAAAATAGATGGTAAGTGCCGATTCCTCTAAGTTATCAACCATATAATTGAAACGAAAGATGAAATAATTATCATAGTTTATACGAAAATCCAACACGCTGTTGATATTTCAGTTGTTTCTACTCTTAATAAACCTATTCGGGTAATGTTGATTGTTATTATTAGTTTCCATGTACCCAGTATAATTGTTTGTATGTCATAGTTACATTTCACTGATAACATGTTTCAAACAAATCCATTATAAAACCAATGTTCATTACTCAATGTGTTTTATCGGTTACATTTTTTCTTGTTTTAATGAACTTTTAATTTGCGATTATGTAGTCAATTAGTTATTTCTCAAAAACGCATTGATCCTTTGAGTACACGTACCAGTACATGTACATTTAATATATATGAAAAAACTAAGTTCAGACGGGATATGTATATTCATTTAGAGGGAACACAAATTTTTTATGAAGTATATATATTCACCTTTCAATCTTCCATTTACATGTATTATGTGTTCTGCTGCACAAACTGTTTGGAGACTTTCTTCCATATCTTCTCTGTTGATCTCACAAGTATTCCAAACTCGCCGTCCTGAGACTCTTGTCTTCAGCTGTCAACTGCAGCAACTTCTATGCAACGTTCCACTGCATACTACTTATAAGCAATCTTGTGAGTCGTATCCACTAGAATAGTACTTCAAAAGAAAAATGTCAATAGAAAAAATTGCCTCTTCAAATTTTTTTTGTTATTTTTTATGTTTACTTTGAAAATGACATCAAATATAATGTTCGATTGAATATGTAATATTTTTATACATCACACTGTAAGAATATTTTTTTATTATATTAGTCTTTAACACTAATGCCATTTTCAACAACTTAAATTATATTTATAGCACACAGTTAATGTTCGATTTAACATTTTATTCAGTTAAATGTCATAGTAGTATAAATCATTAATTTTTTTTATATATTTCGAACGTGAAAATTGAAAGAAACCAAATTGACAACTGTGTTATCTTATTTTAATTCTATAGAATATAATTAGTCCATGATGATGATTTTACATTAAATCGAGCACTAAACGTTCAGATCTTTTAACTAACACTATACATCGTACTTACATACAGACGGACGTAACGTACGTCATGTGAAACATTCAGATAAATTGACTAAATATTCTTCCAGTCTTAGTTTCATTAAGTTACAAGTCCCATTTCATTAAAAATTTGACAAATCTATCGTGATATTCTCTAATGCTTGCTCGTTTGCATCGTTTACTCAACAAAAGGAATAGTTATTTTTTTGTATTATTCTTGAACTAATCCAGAATTTATGTAAAAGCACCATAAGTAGTGATATTAACTCTGTTAATTTGTTTTAACTGTCATCCTTTTGCAATATAATCAGTTATCTGTGTACAAAAGAAAAGTTTTTTTATATAGAAAAAACATTTTATCTACAGCTTCAATGTGATTATTATGGAAATGTTGTTTACCGGTGCTTCAATTCGATTAGATTTCTATGTCATAGCAAAATCTTCATTTTGATGTTTGACTTATGAGTGAAAAGTTTGACTACAACAGACACTTTATTTCAATTGATCATCAGTGTATTTTTCCCACAAAACCTTAAAAGTTACATCATTACTTATGAATATTAAGATGAGACATTTTGGAAAAAATTAAACATATAAACATTTAGTAAATTTTAAATTCAATCATTTTGCAAACACCATTGCCTGAGATAGACAACCGTCTCGCGCTGAATTTTGTCAGACTTCAATGTTCCTAATTTCCAACAAAAACTCTAGTAACCGCTTTTTGGAGCTAGTCACTAATGAGCACATTATAAATATCAGAATAGGGCTTAGTGAAGTTTATAGAATTTTCATTGTTCAAATCACAGACTGATTTTATTTAGATTACCATTGAATCGAACTACGAAAGTTTCTTTCTTGCATACGGAACCTAAACCTCTAAATTGAAGAGCCAAAGTTGGACATTTTTGATGTTCAATTTCAATCCATTCACAATATTAAGCAATCGTCATCGATTTTTTGTGGTAGGCGGAAGGTACTGATTTTGATTTCTGGATACTCATAGTTTGGAAGTCCAATGCTAGGACTAAACGTCTGTTCAATTCTTTCGTGTTTTTGTAATGATGTAACTAAAATCAGTTTGCCATTTGAATTATGAAGATTCTACATTCTCTGCAAAAAACGCTATACTGATATTTGGGAAAATATTTGTCAATGAAATAATATTAGCCCAATGATAAAACTACTTTTTTTCTCACTCATACTAGTGTAGCTGAATCTAAATTGTATTACTATTTTGAAACATTGATTTATCTTATTTGGAATATCTCGATATGAAGATATAGTTGCTATTATGATGAAAGGATTGATTTAATAAAATATGGATTTAAATGGGATTTTAAATGCAAATTACTCAGTCAAATGATATATTATTTTTAAGTTTAAAATGAAAAGCATAACGTTACTAATCAAGCTGTCAAACAAATTCATTGATCACTATTCCCATCAAGAACTCACTGTTGTTGTAGAAGGTAACTTAAGTGTCTTCTAACTAATTAATGTTTTATATAATTAATAATTTTTAAATAATTTTCGTTTATCCATTATTGTTTTTCTCTTCTCTTATAGTTCATGGGCGGCACTACATCCAACAGATCTAGTATTGGATATACTTAGTTCTTGTGCGCACTTATTATATTTTCCGTATAAAAATGCTGACGAAGAGTATCAAATTGCATTGACGAAGTAAGTAGTATGCTTAATCTGCGTTATATTCCTTAACTAGATTTATCATTTCTTTCAATTCATTTTTGCATTGTTTGTTTGAATGTTCTCACTGATGTTTAAGACTGCGATTGACCAGCCTTTGAGTTTGAGTTCCGTACTGAACGTCAACTCTGAGATGCCGGCACATCCAACTGACGCGTTCCGAATAGGACTAAACGTTCATCTTAGATCCCACTCCTAGCCACCATATATCTTTGCTGATCATTATTTTGTTTTATTATATATAGTGTACATGCAGTTAATCCATTTAAATACCTAGGCAAATGATTTCGTTTACTAATTAAAAGTACCATTTATTCTTCAAACATTAAAAATAGTAATAAATTTGATATTGGGAATAAGTCCATTAGTGACTATTATTGCTGTTAAAAAATGTTTTCTGAATGTTTGATTTTTTCGGTGAAATTAGTACAAAAGCGTAATTCATCAGACGCTATCACAGTGATCTATACTTAACTTATGAAATTTTATAATATTCCTTAACCACGTTATCAGTACCATCTTTTAATGATATTTATATGAAGACCCAAGATTGTTTATTATTTAATCCATCGAAAATGTCAGTTTAATCGAACAAACAAAAGAAACGATTTCTTATTGAGTTTTGTTTTTATATAGAACTTGAATCATCGATAATTAGATTTCCTGTAATTATCCCTCGTGATTTATCCTTGACATCATTAGTTTGTTGAATACCACTCTCAAGATAATGAAATCTTCAATGCTCTTTGTTTTTGTATAAAAAAACCTATGAACACTAGGTAACTGTTTCGTCCTAGTTCTAAGTGTTTTCTTTTTATTTCTTATGGTGACTATGTTTCACTTTAAATCAATGATTCAAAATTCATTTGTATGTATTTCTCAATCCAATTACTACTACTCGTAATGAATATATAATTAGGGGGGCTCTGGTAGGTTTTGGGTCCGAATCTCGCGAGTGCGGAATTGTGGATGCGCACTGCTGAGAATTCCCTATAATAGGACGAAACAGCCGTCCAGTGCTTCCAGGTTTTCCATGGTGATCTAGCTTCAATTGACTCATGATTTCAACTTTAGAATATATAATTGTCTGAACTTCAGTTGTTTAATAATTTTTTTTGTTTTATTTTTTTTATTTGTTAATTATTATATAATATAGGGTTTATATAGAAAATCATTTATTAACCCATTTTATCCATTCATTATGTAATATCTATAATTTAACAAATTCACATACATCATATAAGAAAAACTCAAATAATACCTATTTAAACAATTCTATTATCGATAATAAATGTAAAAATATAATCACATTAAAATCATTAGATAATGATCCTGTATTACTTGCACATACTCAATCTATCCTACTGATTGCATTTAAACTGTGCTGTAATCCAATAAATTTACATGGTACAGAAAATTCTGATGATATATCGAATTTATATGGTCTATATGAAACATTTAGTGAAGAACAAGGATTAATTTATCAAAAAACTTTGGGTAAACAATTGATTAATTTACTATTTGGATCAGATTTGGATGATTATGAACCGGAAGTAAAAGCGGTAGGTTAATTAATTCATTGCTTTGTTCTCTGTTTTATAAATTAATAATTGTTTTTTGTGTCATCGAGATGATGAAATAACTTAAATTAGACAACTGTTCAAAAGCTGGGATATATTGGATAATCTTTTCGTCTTAGCATGAGATTACTTAGCAATACTCATCCACCACCTCACAGACGATATAATTTATAGCTTTAAATTAAAGATGATTATGCAAATATGATTAAGGTGTTCTAGTGTTGTGTGCGCTACTTATGCGAACAAACGTAAGTAGTGGAATGCTTATCAGCAGAAGATTAAAGTAAGACGGAGAGCAATCAAAATAACAACATAATTAAAAGAGTGATGGAGTATATCAAGGATAACTCAAGGAAAATGTGGAAATGGTGTACTTATTGTTTGATTTTCATATTTTACAAAGTCTTTATGTAATTTTGCATAGGCACAATAAATTGATTTTCCTCACCAACCCTGTTATACTCAACTGTAAGCTATGGAACTATTCTTAATCATTTTTAAACGATTCTAATGAGATAACCTTACTTGCTGCTTCGTTTTATAGTTTCCATCTCTGTTTTACTTCTATGATTACTGATTTCTAATTTTATTAGTAATTTATTCAGTGATATTGTCTTCTTATTTTCATCATCGTTAGAATTATTCGACTATTCTTGATATTTGTAATTAATATTACTCAATTTAATCAGTTTGTTTCCTACGTTTGATTACGTCATGAATTCAATCACTCTGATTTCTCATTACTCTAATATTTATATCAGTCAACCAGTCAGCTACAACGTAGGACCAGGCACATATATGCATCCGGTCCAATTTGCGATACCTCGTTAGCACAAGATGAACACCAGATTCATAGAAGTATTTAATTTAGTGGTGGTAATATATAAAAGAAAGGTTGTATATAAGGATATAGTATATGAAGGAAGATCGATATGAAGCAATTTTAATCTCAAGGTTTAAGGGAAGATAAAGAGTGTATACACCTACGCCATTGTGATCGATTCTAAGCCATGTCAGCTAGAGCCTCCAACCATTGGCTAATATTTATGACTTGTCATTAATGATGATTATATATAATCTTAGAACTAAATTGCTTTAATGTATATAAAGTGTAAAATGTTGTTACATTTCTGTACTCAGAGTTCTTTTTTGTCGTTTTAACATGTTTAATATTTGCAGTAAAGTATGTATTGCATTATTTCATAAATTCATTTTGTTACAATCATAAGTGATCATTATGAAATACATCTGCATCCTATGAAAAGTAGCTGTAAAACACTAATATCTGTTTGACCTATCGCTGTTTTCTAGTTGAGATTACAGAAATCATAGGACTCGGCAGTTTCAACGCTAATATATATATATACAACTCCAATCTCTACGTTGCATTTTTACAATATCCTTTCGTACTCAAATACAAAGCGTCAATCTCAGTGTATTCTGTTAACTAAGTTTTTTCAACCATTTTTTTTCAGTCAATCAAATCAAATTAATTTCTCAATAATAGAAGTTAACACTTGATTGATTTACAATTAGTTCTCAAGTCAACTAAATATTATATAATCCATTATATTTAAAAATATTCCGTTCATATTTATAATAAAATGATAATCCAAGGATATTTTTCCATCTGAATTAAAAGTTTATTACTATTTTAATTTGGTTTTCATATAACAGATATTTTCTTATAAGTAGTGCTTGATTAAATCATATGCGCATTCGTTCATTTTGTTTTTAATTAGACTGACTATTCTCCTCGCTTTTTTCCGTATACATCTGAAATATTTAAAATAAAATAGTTGTTACATTCATTATTTTTTTCTTTTCTAATAATCATTGTAATCTGAAAAATATCTTATCGTAGTTATATGGTAAACAGACTTACATACTACGCTTATTTAGTAAGTAATATGTAGGCTATTTCTTGGTAGACTAATAAATGATCAAATCTTTTTAAGCTGTAAAGTCCGGAAAAGAGAGAGAAAGAGAGGTAGAAAAAAAATCAGCATCATTAATTGTAGCTTAATTTTGATAATTTTATATACCCTATCTGATACTTGATAATACAATTAGTTTAGTTTAACTACAGAAGATTCGAGCTTTTGGTTCAATTGATCGATTAATATCCAATTGCGTTAGCCAGTAGTTTGCCACTTCATTAAAGAAAAACCATATGACTGACATTTAAATATTACATAAATTTTTAGGTAATCTCCTAATGGAATATATTAATAGGATGATTATTCCTAGTAAATTTATATAATGTTCTGGTATTCGAACAAAATTTTTTTTATCTTGTGTCATAATAGAATTAAAACTTGCAAAAAAATGAAAGTGAATGATTTATATCAAATTGTTTTTGTGTATGTTTATTTTCCGAAACATATCTCCCCGTTATTTATAATACTTAGAATTTAAAATCTTCTATTCTTCATGTATTTCCAACATGTGAAAGGATTTCTGTATTGTATTTACTGTATCACTTTGTTTACAGTTTTTATTTTCAATAGTTTTTTTTTTATTTCAACCACATAATTGTCTGATTTAGGCTATTCCAGGTACTTATATGAAGATTTTTTACTCCCGGTCTAAGTATAAATAAAAGAGAATGAACCACATAAAACTCAGCTGATGAATTTTCTTCAGTATCGTTAATGATTTTGTTTAACATAGAGTTATACCATTGTAAATTGTAATTAAGGGTTGAGCATAGAAGGCAGGCTACATTGATTTGACAGTGCTCAAAAAATTCTCATTTATTTTTGCACGAATAAGAGACTTTTACAAATGAAAAAAAAGAGAAATCGTTTAAAATAGTAGTAACTATTATTCTAAGACGAAGAAAATCATTATTTGACAGTTTATAATTTTTTTAGTCACATGAATAATTTCTAGACTTTCTTCCATTCCTTCCATTTGTGTTCTTCTCAATTTTGAGTATTTATTTTTAATTAAACTTCTTCGTTCTTTTTTACAAATGATACTAAGTGTTCTTCTTAAGCGTAAGATAAAAACAAATATTTAACGTAGATAATTTACTTAAAAAATATACCAATTATAAATGAAGTAAATTCCCCTGTTCAGTTTGAAAATTCATCAGAATATAAATGGATACGGAAATGATTTCTGTCTAATTTGAACAGAGAAATGAGAAGACAAATTTTGTGAGATAGTACCATTTCGTGCTTTCTCGTCAGTCACATACAAGCAACATGTTATTCGTGTAAATACAGTTTTGAAGATAAGGTCAAAATTTCTTATTTAGCATGACATTCACTTACTAGAACCATGGTAAACAAAGGTCAACGTACAGTTGTTTTTGAACACATAAAGTTGGACTTTTCCGACCAATCAAGATAGCTTCGAGTAGTTTGAGTGTGTGTGGGTTTTGATGACATGTCACAACTCTAAAGGCTGATTTTGGGTCAATTTGATGACCACTCATCATTAGATGTTTTGCAATGGACGAGGCTGGGTTTCTTGATCGATCTTGAGATGACGGGCTAGGTGGATGAATCATGGATTTGATTAACCATCTTGGAATATGTTCCCCTATCCTGTCCTCCAATCGGCGATCTGTCCTACCTAAGTAACTTTCTCCGCAGTTACATGTGAATTGGTAAATACAGTGGGATTTGGACTGAATCGGTCTTGGAGACTTGATAGGGTTAACTGAGATCGACTGAGTTGTTGTGATGAGCCTCAGATTAGCTGCATTGAAGGTCTTTTTTATTGCAGCTGCAGTCTGTTTGGTTGTAATTTTCATGCAGTGATCACCCTTGAAAGGTAACTGTAGGTATACTGGTTTCTTGGGCACATCCGTTGCTATCAGTTTCGTCGTATTTGTGTTCTGATGACCAATAAACGTTTCAGGATATCCGTTTAATTTAAGTGTCTCAGTAATAAACTTAAATTCGTCGTCCAATGTATCTACAGTGCAGATTCTACTTGCCCGAGCGAATAAAGTTTTGACAATAGAACGTTTATATTGTATGGGGCAGAAACTAGTGAAGTGGAGGTACTGTCCCGACCAGGTGGGTTTGCGATGTACTCTGCGTCTGATCGATCCGTCTGGACGGCGATGGAGCAGGATGTCGAGGAAAGCTAGTTCATTATTGTTTTCTTCCTCATAAGTGACTTTCAGATTCGGGTGAATTGCATTAAATAAATCATTGACTTGATTAATATCTGTAGACTGTGGTAATATGACAAGAATATCATCGACATATCGTTTGTAAAGTGTAATACCATCAATGAATTGACTCACTTGCTTTTCTATCATTCCCATGAATATGTTTGCTAAAACAGGTCCGAGAGGGCTTCCCATAGCCACTCCATCGATTTGCATATATGCTTTACCTTGGAAATAGAATTTTATATTCTTTGTGCACAGCAAAATTAGATCTCGAAGATAGGTAGTAGGAATGGATATTCTTATGTTGTGTGAAGTTATGAAATCACAAATAAATTCCACAGTTTCTTCGAGAGGTACATTTGTGAACAAAGAGTTTACATCGAAAGAACACATTCGACTATTAGAAATATTCAAGTGTTCCAAGGTTGGGAGAAGTCCAAAAGAATCAATGACAGTATGTGTCGATAGTTGTTCACAAACAGGATCCAAAATTCCTTTCAACCATTTTGCTAGCTTATGGTATGGTGAATTTATCATGGACAAAATTGGTCTCATAGGTGTTCCAGGCTTATGCAGTTTCGGTAAGCCATACATTTCTGGTGTGCATGTACCAATGGGCTTGAGCATTTTATAATGGGCCTCGGTGATAAAACCGTGAAGCATGAGTAGATGTAGTTCTCGGCATATTTGTTTTTCGACCAACTTCACGTTATCGATCTGTGAATCTGATTTAAATTTAGCAGAGTCTGAGAGGATCGCGTTCATTTTGGTTATGTAGTCCTCCTTATTCATGACTACAACACCGGAACCTTTGTCCGGTTTGGAGATTGTTATTGTGGAATTGTTC